AACCTTTAAAGTCATCCGCAAGGCAAAAAGTAATTTTCCCTGATCACTACGTATCCGAATCATTTGTTTTATTGCTGAAGCAGCTATGGCATAAAAACCGGACCTCTATGTACAGAAAATGTTCATTTAACCCTTCCTACACATCCATCGTCTTAATCCCTCTTCTATGCTTAATCTTATTTTGTCTCTACCTATTCTTTGTTTTGTTCATTCAATTTGTATACTCTTCATGTATTACGTCAATTGTTACTATTACTGTTCTTACTTTGAACTGTCCCTGGTATTATTTCACTTGTTCCTCTTGTCATTCTAAGTCAATTCTGTCTTGCAACGTTAAATTCTATGTCATCATATCTCACACAATGTTGTGTAACGTTTTCATTCCTATTCGATTTGCCTACTCTACTAACCGCATAATTTCACACCCCTTCCAAGTTCTACACATCCTATGACTTGAAGATGAGGCAGTAACTAATCGAAGAAGACATTGCAAAATGGTCGTGCTATATCGTGAATTGACAGAAGTTAGAATTCATGGAATGGCTATTGAATCATGTCCCAGTGGCTGCTCGCCTAGTAACCAGAAGGTCCTAGGTTTAAACCCCAGTGGGTGCATACTGATGAAGAAACCCGAAATAGGACGAAACAGCTGTCTAGTACTCCCAGGTTTACCAATGGTTCTGCAACCGATATAATATAATTAGTTACTCTTTTAGCACTGAATAATTCGTTTACTTACATCATCTATGGAATTATGTTGCCCATACTTTCTGTCTATAACTTGAAGTCATTGTAAAAAGTATGTTCGGACAGGATTTTGTAACTTATAATTTGATTTTGTTTAGGATGTCTGCTGTTGAAGAGAATCCACGGAATAAAATAAATGAGCTTTTTAAAACCTTCAAGTATTTTCGTTCCTTTTTTTCTATTGGTCAAACTAATAAGGGAAATTGTTTGTATAATATTCAGCAATGGAATATACCCAACCTTGTATTCGTGCTGAGATTTCGTCAGAGATCAGCCCGTTGGGGCTGATGGTATTTGGGAAGTACCATCAGCCAGTGCCAATGGGTTGATCTCTGACGAAATCTCAGCACGAATACAGGGGGCTCGTTTCGCATTTGCCAGTTTACGCCGACTTTGGTGCAGACGAGATGTTCGACTATCGACCAAAGGGCGGCTGTACTGCTCATCAGTCCGCTCCGTCCTCCTTTATGGCTGTGACTGAGACCTGGCCACTGAGAGTGGAAGACATGAAAAGACTAGCTGTCTTTGATCATAGGTGCCTGCGTTCTATTTCCCGTGTGAAGTGGCATAATAAGGTGAGCAACATGGAGGTTAGGCGTAGAGTTCTAGGTAAACAGGGGAAATCAATCGACGAAGTCGTGAAGCTACAAAGACTGAGATGGTTAGGACATGTGTTACGTATGCCAAGCCATCGCCTCCCTCGACAATGAGCAGTGTTAGCGGATATAGGGTCAGGCTGGAAAAAAGCTAGTGGCGGTCAAACAAAAACTTGGCATCAGTCAATGAAATCCACAACAGTTGGTCTAAGCCAGTCACGTAGGAAGGTGTAGACTTCCTGACTGGTTGGGGTCCTCGGGACGGTAAAAATCTATGGTTGGAAACAATTGGTGACATGGCTAGCTCAAAATCGTTCTCAGTGGCCAGCGCATATGCATCCACTCCTTGTGACTTATGATCTCCAATGAAACTGTTTTGTTCTTCGTTATTACTCTTCCTTTGTCTCACACCTCTGCTCACTGTTTCTATTATGCTTTTCTTGTACTTTCTTCTCTAGTTTCGCGTGCTACACGGAGTGTGGCGACTTGAACTGGTGCACATTTGTGCAAAGTTCTATGTCGAAAACAGACAGACAGACAGACAGACCCAACCAAGTGATGAATGAGAATTTATGTGAAGTGGATGTTATTATAGGAGTCAGACTGGGTTGCTTATTATCACTGGTGATATTCTTAGTTGTAGTGGTCTTGATTATGTTTCAAACAGTACATGGGTGTGAGAAGACAGGAATACTCTGTGCTGATAAGAAGACCTGTAGAAGATCTTGATTTAGTGCCTGGATTATTTTATGTCACATGTCACATAAACTCGATGACTTACAGCTGAAAACTAACGAACGGTCTGGAGAAAGCAGTAGACGAAGACCAGGAATCCAGGTGAACATAAAGAAGATAGAGGTGATGAAGATAACCAAGCAGACAGCGACAACAACCAGTATCAATCCCCATCAATGAAAGAGTTTGCGCAAACGTTACTTCCTTCACTTATCTACATTACACGCTTCCAACTACAGGTTACAGCTTGAATGAAGATTTCAAAGCCAGCCAGAATTGCAAAGGCAAGATATGCCTTAAGTCATTTTAGGAATTTAGATATGATGGAGAAGATTTGTAGCTCAGGTGGATGATTTTGATGTGGTTTTGTTCTCTGAGCTGGATGGTTAGTTTGCGAAGCTTTCATCACCTTACTGGGTGACATCTTCAGCGCATACTTCAATTTGAAGTGAGCTTTTAGATTTCTCCACGAGTTTATTAATCATCTCTCCTGGTGACCCTGGACGTGACTGGTTGTTTGTGTGTGTTTTCACACCTTCTAGGTTACTTGTATTGGAACCGGTTGTTTCTTTGACTTGAATTATGACCCTTTGTGTGTGAGGTTTCGTTCTTATCGGTTGATAAATTTTGTCTATCTCGATGTGTCTATTGATTGATGATTCACTGGAATGCCAAGCTTCTAAAAATTCTCTAGCATTCTTGTTGTAGTGATCACTACACACAGACAACCACGGACATCAATTCGACTGGGACAACGTTCAAATATTAGACAAAGGAAATAACAAGAATGCTAGAGAATTTTTAGAAGCTTGGCATTCCAGTGAATCATCAATCAATAGACACATCGAGATAGACAAAATTTATCAACCAATAAGAAAGAAACTTCACACACAAAGGGTCAAAGTTTAAGTCGAGGAAACAACCGGTTCCAATACAAGTAACCTAGAAGGTGTGAAAACACACATAAACAACCGATCACATCCAAGGTCACCAGGAGAGATGATTAATAAACTCGTGGAGAAATCTAAAAGCTCACTTCAAATTGAAGTATGCGCTGAAGATGTCACCCAGTAAGGTGATGAAAGCTTCGCAAACTAACTATCCAGCTCAGAGAACAAAACCACATCATTTTAGTAATCCCCTGCACTACACAGAGTTAAAGAACGCAAATGTGAAGTCAGTCACTTCTTCTTCTATATAGGTCGGTGTCACGAAAATCATTTCCAACAGCCAGCAGCAGAATTTTGTCAACAGCTACCCTCTCCGCTGGTTCCATATTGAGGATCAGCTGGCCAGTCAGGAAGCATTAGTAACAAGAAACTCTGGCTGGCGGCAACAAACCAACCAAGAGCCGGTCGCTCAACAAATATGTGTGGGAGAAAATGGAGGCGAATTCAGCCTACATTGAAGAGGCTCATTGCAGGCCATCGCTCGATTGGAATTCCAATGGGAAGTGACAGCAGAGTCATCTGTGCGAGTATAACGTGGAGAAGATTGTGTGAGTTGGAGGAGGAGATAAGACATTCTGGGCAATCATGTGGCTAGCCAGTTGAAGAGGACAGTAAAAGGCAGAATAAAGTGGAAATATTTAATTGAATTTTAGATTTTCCCGTAAATTGATTGCACTGAAGTGCTCGATCTCAGGATGAAATGTCGGCTTCTCCTTGTGGAGATGCTTCAGTGATGTCCGGGTATGTGATTAGAAGTTAATTGGTGGATGGTGACTAGCAGTGGAATCCAAAGCCTCAGGATGGTCGGGGTGGGTGCCTTGCGCTGCGGGTTGGCCACCCCTCCGCACACCTCTTGAAATGCTCCCATATTACCGGGCGTCTTACATAGCCTCTCCTGAGGAAGTCCTACTCACTGCCTTCACGTGGCGGAGGTGTTTCTCACCAAAGTGAGAGGGCGAAAGCGGATGCCCGGCGCTCTCCACCGGGTTGACTGTCCATTGGATGACAGTCTAGGGAGATGGCTAAACCCTGATTCCAAACCTCCAACGAGTGGCGTATGAAGCTCACTGGAGCTCACGGGCAGACGTATGGACAAAGGGCTTGTTGGATATCCTGGATGTTTGGCCCCATTCAAAAAGGCGTATGAACCGAACTCCGGTCACCGGCTGCCAATGGATAGTGGACTCCCTACTCCACTCCTACTGCCTTGTAGGTCACACTTGGCTGTGTAAAGGCTAGAGCTGCACTCTCAAACAAAAGACCGAGCGATGCTGGGGACATCACTCGTACCAAATTCCCATGAAACTTCATGAACTCTCTTACAAATTGCCGCGCCTGGGCAGCGATGATTCGAAACGTTCATGAAGCCGGCTCATCCTCCCGTAGGAGATAGCCGAAGTATAGTATAGTATAGTAGTAGTGGAATCCAGTCAGGATGCACATTTCGTCCTGTTTGGGACTTGTCCACCAGGTGGATGTACCTGCATTCCCCCTGTGGGCGATGCTGTTTCCACCGAAGCTCGAACTCAGTGCCCATAGTTTCAAACGCCAAAGCGTTCGGTATCCAGTAGAATGCAGGTACATCCAGATGACGAGTCCCAGATCGGGCTGAATGCGCATCGGGGATTCCACTGCTAGTCACCATCCACTAATTAAATTCTAAAGTGGAAATATGTTGTTAAAGGCCGATTTTGCCCTCATAACTCAAGGGAATAATAATAATAATACATGTTATTATTTATCCCACTGATAGTTAAATAGATAGACAACCTTATTTAAAGTGCATACACTAACTAACCTTTATATTTCTTATATGTATGTATAAACAAAATAAGCGTTACTATAGTGATAAATTGTGTACTCTTAATTCATTTAAACAAATAAAGAAAGAAAGTTTAATCCAATATAAATTTATTGTTTTCCACATTATATTTTCCCCTAATATAAATAGCTGATGTATATATATATATGCGACATCTGTGTGGTAAGGATAGTTTTTTTCAACGTATTTTCTAGTGTCAGTGTGACTGTGAACTTGTGTGTAACACTCCTACAAGACGCCTGTGAACTGATATACTACTGAAATGTTTGAACTGGAGAGAAGGAGACCACTAACTGATTTACAAATTAAACAACGTTTAACAAAATTACCAGTTCTAGAACAGGTTAGTTAAATTGGTTAGTTACTTAATTATTTTTGTAAACTATGCAGTAGATTATGAAAGGCGTAAGTAGGATTTGTATAGTCTCAGTGGAATTGAAATAAGTTATTTGTACGTTTCGTGAGTTCGGTAAACTTCTCCTAACTTCTTCTGGGAAATTGATCAAAGTTAAAATAACAAAGATATATATATATATATATATGACTCTTCCTAGTTAAACCTTGTTTCGACATACAATAATCTGTTGAACTCCGCGGTTCTTTTGTTTGCAAGCATAATCGTCTAATTTTCCCATAAATAGCCAGTCTTTCAATAACTTACGTTACCTTTAGTTCCTACCACTATCTCCTTGTCCTCTTGTTCAGTTTGTAGCCAGCCAGTTGAGAAGAATCCTCGAAATAACTTAAAAAAAACAATTGAGCTCATCTTATCCTGGTACATTTTCCGTTCTTATTTTGTTTAATAAGAGATGGAATGAAATAAAATAGTGATGATAATAATAATAATAATAACGGTTAGTAAGCGAAGGCATAATACAATGGAATGCTCAAAGTGACCACCACTCGCTTCTATATATATACTGAGATACCAGGTATATAAACTCAAAATTCACAAGATTGTGCGATCGCGAGTATCTTTCTATTTTGGTGGTTGGTGAGAACAGAGAAATGTCTTGAAATCGTCAGTATCATGTTCGTAGTCTTTAAGAATCTCTAAGTTATTTGGTGGAATTCAGAGTTGGCATTTCGTCCTTCTGAGGACTCATTAATCAGATGTAACTCCGTTCCCCCAATAAGTGATGGTGTTTCCAAAGAGAATCGAATCGAGTAACCATCGTTCCAAGCACCAACGAGTTATGCGCCAAACCACTTGTGCCGCGAGAGTCACCTCTTCTGCAAACAGCACCAACTTTTATTTGTGTTTAATTCAATTTTGATTTTCTTGTTGACTGGTTGATTGAACGGAAATGTTTAGTGTGTGTCAACATGCCAACTTCTAGCACAGATGCTTCAACGATATCTGAGGATTCGATTGAAGCGATTCAATAGATTGTGAAGAGTCCTAAATAGGGCGAAACGCTCATCCTGCATGATTCCACTACTAGTCCCCACTCATCAAATAACTTGAGTAGTAAACATTTTATCTTAGTGATCTAAGAAAACATCATTATTTTAATTCCATTATGGGTAAATTTTGTTTTGATAAAGGCTCACAGTGTTATACAGTAATGTTTACTGATGACCATGTTTCGAGCACAATTTATTGCCACTCATAATCATATCAAGGTAATCACACGACTTCCTAAATTCATTTATATAGTTCCATTGATTTTCTCTTGATTTTCACTTGATTTGATTGGCACTAGTATTTTCCATATTTCGGGTATGAGTGACGAGTCATTCCTATTGCATGTGTTGGGTGTAGACTCGATGAACAAGGATTCAGTAATCAACCTCTCTCGCTCTCCACCTACCTAGATTACTTTTTAGAATTTCAACCCTCTCCCACCAGCCTATTGTGTGGTTGTGTGTTAATGCATGCATTGCGATTGCTGAGCTTTTTTCTAAATTACTTATCTTCTCGGGTCAACCATTCTTACCTTAGCTAAATTTTTATGCTCTGACAATCTGACTACCCCTGACCTACTAGTTTGACCTATGTAGTTGACCTCACAGTCATCGCATGGTATTTTGTAAATAATATTATTCTGTCTAATTGGGTCAACTGGGTCCTTTAACCTACAGAGCTTGTCCCTGAGTGAGTTTGTAGGCTTAAATGCCACCCTAATTCCTGTTTTATTCAGAATCCTACGTAGTGTCTCAGATGTCCCCTCTTTATATGGTATAACTGTGGATGACTTATATTCTTTCTTATTTATGTTATTATTACTAGTTTTTTTGTTTTTGGCCTTTACTGATCTTCCTAATGAATTTTAAAGGATAGTTATTCAACACCAACGCTTCTTCTATCTGTTTTAATTCATCATTTAGATCTTTTTTTATGCTACTTAGTGCCACTGCTCGGTTTGTTAAACATTTAACTAAGCCTGCCTTAACAGTTAAAAGATGAGACGAATTAAAGTCTAAATATCTATTAGAATGCGTTGGTCTTCTATAAACACTAGTGTGTAGTTTGCCTTCTTCTATTCTTTTTATCTTACAATCTAACATAGCTAATTCTCCTTGTTCATTTTCTGATTCAAATGTGAATTTTATTCCATCAACTTGTGAGTTTATATGTGTCAAGAAGCTAGAGATGTGTTCTGGTTTTAACACTGTGAAAGTGTCATCCATGTGGATGACAAAATAATATTATTTACAAAATACCTTGCAATGACTGTGAATTAGGTCAACTACATAGGTCAAACTAGTAGGTCAGGGGTAGTCAGATTGTCAGAGCATAAGAATTTAGCTAAGGTAAAAATGGTTGACCCCATCCGAGAAGATAAGTAATTTAGAAAAAAGCTCAGCAATTGCAATGCATGCGCTAACACACAACCACACAATAGGTTGGTGGGAGAGGGTTAAGATTCTAAGAAGTAATCTAGGTAGATGGAGAGAGAGGTTGATTACTGAATCCTGCCTGGTTCATCGAGTCTACACCCAACACATGCAATAGGAATGACTCGTCACTCATACCCGAAATACGGAAAATACTAGTGCCAATCAAATCAAGTGAAAATCAAGAGAAAAACAATGGAAATACATAAACGAATTTAGGAAGTCGTGTGATTACCTTGATATGATTATGAGTGGCAATAAACTGTGCTCGAAACGTGGTCATCAGTAAACATTACTGTATAACACTGTGAGACTTTATCAAAACAAAATTTACCCATAATGGAATTACACTCTACCACAGTGCACAAGTTTTATTCTTATATCAATCATTATTTCAAATCGAAATATTAGAAGATTAGGAGTCATTCAGTGAAATTGTAGTTTCCAAGTATTGATTTCTGTAGGGATTAAGTTTGATTGGTTGGAGGACTTTATCATGAGCTGATATCAGTTGAAGAACCATTGGAAAACCAGCTGGGAGTACTGGACAGCTAACTGTTTCATCCTAGTTTGAAACTCTCTGGCAGTACGCATCTACCACCGCACCAGGATTCAAACCCAGGACCTTCTGGTTACAAGGCGACTTAGCTAAGCGACTAAGCCACTGGGACCCAGTCCAATGGTCAACCCATGAGTTCTAGCTTCTGCCAATTCACGATATAGCCCGACCAATTCTCAATGTCTTCTTCGATGAGTTACTGCCTCACTTTCAATCTGCTGTGCACCCTACTGGTTCGAAGCCCGGTGGGTGCGCACAGTGAAGATGAAACAGGTGCCCAGTACTCCCAGTTGGTTTTCCAGTGGTTCTCTAACTGATGCTGGCTCATGATGGACTTCTCAAACCAATCAATATTGTAATTATTGATTAAATATTTTTTTTCTATCTGGTTTCCTGTTTATTTTAAACAGTTTGATTTCCTTCGTGCATCTGATATCCTGTTGAATAAAGAATCTGAGATCACACTTGAATTATTTGCCAATTTAAGAGGGAGTCTGCATAATGCACTAATCAATATTAAAAGCGATTTGACATCTAATGATTTGGAAGATGAAGAAGAAAAACCACTTAATTATGGTAAGTTAATTTATAGGAAATTCTCTCTGTATTACTTATGATGAATATAAGTAGTAGTAGTATTTTATATTTTTTTTTTTGATTTACAGCTTGATTCCACACTGTATTTTTGGTACAAGTATGGAATTTTCAGCATGGATATCGGTAGCCCAAATTTCGCAGGCCGACCATAGATATCAGCTGTGCGTCGGTGCGGGCTCGAACCCCAGACCATGTGCATGGTCGGCGAGAGTCCTAACCACTGTGCCACCGACGCACAGTAGTAGTAGTCAAATATTTTTGATTTCCACACAATTATTATTATTATTGTTTCCTTTAATTCCTAGAGGAAAATATGGCTTCATCCAAACGTCAACATTGCCTGTGGTTCTCTCCCAACGTTTTCACCTGACTCCACGTCTGCTTACATGCTTTCATCTCCTCTTCACATCACCTCCCCCATGTCACCCCACTCTCTCACTGACGACTGACTTGACGGTTCCCGTTCGGGTTCCACTCGAGCAATGGCTTGTCTAGTGATGTCACTTGATGGTTTGTTTTCTCAGAGTAGGGCCGATCCACCTGCATTTCTTCCTGCATATTAGTTGCACAGTTAGTTCCTGCTGGGTTGGTTTGTTCATTCTCAGAGTTCCCTGTTGATGATCTTTTCTGGCCGGCCAACGGATTTTGAATAATATTGAGCGAAGACAGCTGTTGATGAGGAAAATCTGCAGTTTGTTTGAAGTGGCCTCGTGACACGCTAAGTCTTTAATCCGTATAGTAGGTAGCCTTGACTTCACATTGGAGTTGAAAATCCGGATCCTATTTTTATTTTTATGCTGAATGCTACTGTTCTCCACACAGACTTGAGAGAAATGAAAGCTTGCTTTGTCTTCTAGATCCTCACTTCTTTGAGATCCTCATCAGTTTCGTCCGCCTGAAGTTGAAACGATACTTCCCAGCTATTTAGGTCGGTAGTTAGGTGAAGGAGTTTGATTTTTTCAGATTTCTCCCATTTATGCCGGCTGATTTTTGTCTGTTGTTGCTGTTGCTGTTGGCCAGGAATCTTCATCAGCTACCTCTGTCTTCTTTATGTTCACCTGAAGTGAAGTCCTTTATCTTTGTTGCTTCTTTTATCACCAACTTGTTGCCTTTCACTTGCATATTTTCCAGTTTGTTGGAAATCGGACATATACATCACATCAGCGAAGTTCAGATCCTCCAAGGTTTTTGTGTGGGTCCATTTTATACCTGCATCCTCGCTTCTCGCAGCTATCTATCGCATTATCCAGTCTACTGCAATCAGGAAAATCATTGGAAATAGTAGGCAGCCAGCCATCTTGTCTTACTCCCATCTTTACTTCGAAGGAATCTGTGAGTTTCCCTTTGTGGATTACTTGGCATTCAGTATCGTTTCACACAATATCTACTGTATTAATTAAAGTCTGGTAACTGAAGATTATATTAGATAGTTTTACGAAAAATCAACAACTTCCATATTTTCTTCTAATTCCTTATACTCACGACTGAGGGAAGAAAACGTTTCTGGGCAGTTAGTGCAATAATCTTGAATTAACAGTGGCTGAAGAGTCGCATTAACGTTTTTCTCCTTCACGTTCCCAGTGGAACATGGGTCTTCAAGCTAGTGGCTTGAAGTTTCTGTAGCAGTGGTGTTTATTTTTACAGGATGGGGTTGCTAGCCTCATACCCAACCTTTCCTCTTTACCAGGATTATTTCTCGCTTAGCGAGCGAGGTAAAGGAGTGCATCTGTAGCCGGGGATCGAACCCCGGACCATGTGTATGGTCGGCGAGCATCCTAACCGCTGTGCCACCGACGCTAATTGCTGTATACAATTGACAATTTCATATTTATTTGTAAAACTATATACTACTAATTCATTGAGATAAGTATTTGGATACCACTCATATCGGCCAGTAGTGTTTGCTACACAACTAGTCATATCGAAGGGATCTAACCATCGAAGAGCCACTTTTGCTAGTTTGGAGGCGAGCTCAGAAAGGTGAGTCAGTTCAAACCAGAAAAATTTCTGGCTAGCTGCTTGGGCGAACTGGTAATACTTTAGAACATGATCTCAATTTTCTTAACCGTTTGTAGAATTCTGTAATAATCATGAATAAAAGTGTCACTGTAACACACAAAATCACTTGGATACAAAGTATGTTAGACAACAGATACTGTAGAGCCAACTAAACAAGTCAGTTTATGTTATATCCGTCCCGTTAACTGTTATATGGTTATGAACTTGACTGGTATGCTAATACGCCTATTTGTCCGTTGTACCTTCCGATTTACTGAGCCACACAAATATCAAAAGAAAAAGACTGTCTGGAGTGTGACTGTTAGATATAGTATATTGTGGCACAGTGGTTAGGACTCTCGCCAACCATGCACATGGTCCGGGGTTCGAGCCCACACCGACGCACGCCTGATATCTATGGTCGGCCTGGGAAATTTGGGCTACCGATATCCATGCTGAAAATTCCATACCTGTACCAAAAATACAGTGTGGAATCAAGCTGTAATCAAGAATAAAATAAAAATAAAATAATTGTACATTTTAGGAAACAACACATGATATTTATACATTTTCTTTATCACAGTAAAGTCGGCTCACATATGTAGGAATGGATTGTTCTTATTGGCTGGCAATATCTATTCTGATTGGTTGGAGATACAACAAAAACCAAGTGTAAGCGCAATATTGCTTGAAATTAAGTCACGCGTAGATAAAGGCTATCCCGGTCCAGAACAAACAAGAAGCCGGTCACTGTTTCTACGGTACTATTAATAAACAAATCAATAATTATATATATACAACAAACCTTAACTGTTTCAAGAGTACAAAGCACAACGCTTAACAGAAAGCAAGGTACCGCTATCAGAGCGGAATAACGTTAAAGCCAAAATTGCGAACTAGGCGGAATCAGACACGACTGTTCAGGTAAGCAGTTAGTAGAAGAATGAACCCAAGTAAGGCAGGGCATAGAACAGAGAGCGGTTAAGAGATAGACTGAGCATAGGCACAGGGATAGAATTTAATTGGCTACTTAACCAGGTAGGCTGATACAGGTGAAGATCAATAAATAAGATAAACTCGACAGAATAGTACAAAGTAAGACATGGGTCAGCAAAAATAACAGTTCACAAAATACTCTGATTGGGTCATGAGTTCAACTGTCTGACTAAACGGATCGAGGTAAAAACACATACACACAGTTCATTAAACAAGCACGGATAGACACATAAGGCATGGATAATTGGGTTGCAACAACGCTAGGCTGATCCGGGACAGGTTGGATTGATTCAAGGATGGGAATTGAATTGATCTTACACCAAGGTTGAGACAAAAAATGATGAATGAACCACACGTTAAATCACAGTATGTGTGAGAAATGATACATTCACATAGTAACTCCATCACAAGATAAACCGCAAGATCCGTGAGAAAACAGGATATACTATTTTATGCTGGATCCTATCACTTTAGTATATCTAATGCCCTAAAATGACTGTCAGGTCAAATACATAGGTCACATTAGTAGAATGAAGTCAGCTAGACTAGCAGAGCATAAAAGCATTGCAAAACCTGAATAAGTTGACCCTAATAAGATAGGAATTCTAGAGAAATAGTTCAGCCATGCCACTCACTACATGCAATTACACATACCTTACCATACAATCGGGTGGGATAAGATGACAGTTTTAAAATCTAATACAACTAACATGGTGCAGGGAGAGATTGATAACGGAAGTTTTATCTGTCGAATCAACTGAAAATGCGTGCAGTAGGCATAATTCAACATTTGTATCGGATATCTGGGAAATTCTGCTACCCTTACGATGAATAGGACGGGGAATAAAGAAAATTATAAAATTGGAATAATGAAAATGATTTTTGGCTCAGGTGGATGATATTGAATCAGCTGTGTTTTCTGAGGAGTTGGCTGATTTAATTAAAAAGCTCCCGTTGTCCCTCATCCAGACAACATCTTCACTGCAGGTTGTAGTATAGAATGGGCTCGTTTAAATTCTCCATGAATGGTGATGTAATTTGTATCTCCTGGCAACCGCTGTCTTGACTGGTTGTTAATTTACGTCTATATTGATCATATTTTTATTGACTTAGAAGTTAAACTTTTATGTCATATGTGTTGATTTACTTGTTATTAGCTGATAAATTTGGTCTATAATAATGTCTGTCTGTCTGTCTGTTTTCGACATAGAACTTTGCACAAATGTGCGGCAGTTCAAGCCGCCACATCCTCCATGTACCACACAAAGCAAGAGAAGAAAGTACAAGAAATGCATAATAGATACATTAAACAGAGGTGTGAGACAAAGAAATAGAAGTAACGAAGAACGATGTAGTTTCATTGGAAATCATAAGTCACAAGGAGTGGATGCATCTGCGCTGGCCACTGAGAACGATTTTGAGCCATGTCACCAATTGTTCCCAACCATAGATTTTTACCGTCCCGAGGACCCCAGTCAGGAAGTCTACACCTTCCTACGTGACTGGCTTAGACCAACTGATGTGGATTTCATTGACTGGTGCCATGGTTTTGTTTGACCGCCGCTAGCTTTTTCCCAGCCTGACCCTATATCCGCTAACATAGCTCGTCGAGGGAGGCGATGACTAGACATGCGTAACACATGTCCTAACCATCTCAGTCTTTGTAGCTTCACAACCTCGTCGATTGATTTCCCCTGTTTATCTAGAATTCGACGCTTAACCTCAATATTTCTAACCTTATTATGCCACTTCACACGGGAGACAGAACGTAGGCACCTATCATCAAAGACAGCTCGCCACGCTTTTCATGTCTTCCACTCTCAGTGGCCAGGTCTCACAATCATAAAGGAGGACGGAGCGGACTGATGAGCAGTACACCCACCCTTTGGTCGATAGTCGAACATCTCGTCTACGCCAGAGTCGGCGTAAACTGGCAAATGCGAAACGAGCCCCTTGTATTCGTGCTGAGATTTCGTCAGAGACCAACCCGTTGGAAATGGCTGATGGTACTTCCCAAATAAGTGAAGCGCTCAATGTGCTCTACCACTTCACTTCCTATTTTTAAACTAGGAGTCGGTGTAGTTCAGTCCTGTAACATCATCTTACATTTGTGTAGGAGCGAATCGCATGCCAAACATTCGTAGATTGCAGTTCAAGGTGTACAGAAGACTCTGGATTTTGCCAGAGTCCCCGCCTAGAAGGACTATATCGTCTGCATATTCTAAGTCAACGAGATTATTCCCCGGTAGCAAGTCAATCCCTTAGCCGCTGAAGTCACTTAGGGTTAAGTCCATTAGTACATCTATGATGAAGTTGAATGGAAAAGGGGATAATGGGCATCCTTGACGGACACCACTGGTCGTCACCAGTTCAGATGACAACTCGCCATAAGCCCTCACCTGGCTGTATGAGTACGAGTAGAGTGCCTTAATCAGTGCAATATATTTTCTCGGCATTCCATTTACAGCCAACCATCTCCAGAGTACATCTCGATCGACAGAGTCGAATTCCGCCTTTAGGTCAAGAAATATAATGACTGTTGGACGCCGGTAGGAATTCTTATGTTCTAGAATCTGTCGGAGGGTGAAGATATGATCAATACACCCTCTTCCTGGTCTAAAGCCTGCCTGGCTCTCTCGTGTTTCTGTCTCCCGAGCACCACTCAGTCTACGTATGATTATTGAGCCTAAGACTTTAGATACTATATTAGTCAAGCTAATCCCTGTGTGATTATCACAGGTCTATAATAATAAGTGTTTGTTTATCGCTGGCTGATTGACTTGAGTCCCAGGCTTCTAGGAATTCTCTGACTGCACTTTTAGTGTTTTCCTCTCCTGTTTGCAATTTCCAAACTGTCTCAATCCAATTGGTGTCCATAGTTATCTTGTGTGTAGTCACCGTTTAAAAAAGAGTTCAAACACTTGATTATGATTATAAGTGGTAACAGTTTGTGCTCAAAACGTGGTCATCAGCTAATATTAATGTGTAACACAGTGTGATTTATCAAAATCAAATAAAATCTTATCTATAGTAGAGTTCAAACACCCTGTAGCACTACATCAGTGTCGAAGAGAATGAAGGAAAAATACTTACTAAATGTCTTCAAAAAGAGAATGCATATCCTCGGAATTTCATTGAAAGGTGTTTAAACTCGAGTCATGACATCAAGAACAAAGCCAACATTAAGCACCACAAGAAAATTTATCACACCATTCTGCATAAAGAATTTCTCTGCGATAACCGCTGGAATATTTGAACCGTTTGAAATAGATGTAGCACACAAGCCGATAAAATCACTTCATTCGATATTGTGCTAACCAAAAGATCTAATGTGGGTAGATAAAATTAATACCATTCACAAAATAAATCGCCTGCATGAACTGGGATAAACATTACATCGGTCAAAGCAGGCGTCACTTTCATACTCGAATCAAAAAATACAAATTGGCTGTAGAGGACATGCTATATCTTCTTTTGTATTAATCCATGTAGATAGCCATAGACACCAATTTGATTAGGACAGTTTAGAAATTGCAAACAGAAGAGGAAACACCAAAAGTGTAGTCAGGGAATTCCTAGAAGCCTGGTACTCAAGTGAATCAGTCAGTGATTAACAAACATATCATTACAAATCAAATTTTCCAGGTAATAAAAAGTAAATCATCACATGTGATAAGAAAGTTCAACTTCCAAGTCAATAAAAATATGACCAATAGAGATGTGAATTAACAACTAGTCATGACGGTGGTTGCTACGGGATACAATTACATGATTCATGGGGAATTTAAATGAGTCCATTGGATACTACAACCTACACTGAAGATGTTTCTCAGAAGAGAGACAACGAAAGCCTCGCAATCGAATCAACCAATTTTAGAGAACACAACTAATTCAAAACAAAGAAAGAACGAGAATATATACAAGGTAATACGAGCACATCATATTTTGTGAGTTCTCTTCAACTGCAGAAATCTCAAACTAAATCAGATTATAAGTTACAAAATGTTTGAACATAACCCCGTCACAGTTACTTCAAGTTAGAGGCAGAAAGTATAGGCAGCTCAATTCTAAAGGTAATGTAGGCAGACGAATTTTTCAGGGTTAAAAGAATAATGGTTTATATGATAATTAGCTAAACGGGGGTAGCTCTCAGATTTCTCTTGGAAACAAGGAATTCATGGTAGGACAACAACAGACTATTATCCTGTTCATGTCAACTCAACCTGCATTTACCAATTCACCTGCATTTGCGGCGGCAAGTACGTGAAAAGGAATAAGAGGAGAGTATCTACTAAATTTTCTGAACATATCCCTAAAAGTTTTTGTATGAAAGGCAGTAATGTGTTCTGAAATGAAATCGCCAAACACTTAATTGACACAGGACATACAGTGGAAATTAGCCTACAGGCTTTCAAAACAACCATTTCTTTTTTTCCTTTATATTCCCAGAGGAACATGGGGGAGGGGGGGGCTTCCAACTACAGGCTAAAAGTTTCAGTAGCATTGGTGTTTATTTTTACATGATGGTGTTCTTAGCCTCGTGCTCCCCAACCTTCTCTCTTTACCATACCAATCTTATTACTGGCTTAGAGAGGTAAAGGAGTGTGTCGACTGGGGATGGAATCCCTGACCACATGCGTGATTTGCGAGTATTCTATCGCTGTTATCAAAAGACTTCAACTTAACCTCTGTATACAGAAAGGTGGCGTGTAACTAATCTCTCATTACTCTGGTAACCGTAATTGTTTTGTTCGTGTGCTTTTTTTTTTAATTTTTCTCTGTTCTGTTGCATAACATTCCACTGAATGTTGATTTCGATTTTCACTTACTGAGTTGAACTCAATATTAAGTTGCTAAATTTACTTAATTGTTTTGTCTATATCATAATTTTACTTTACTATTTACTCTCACATATATGATGGGCTACCAACCTTGTCTACAGCAAAAAAAACTTAACTGTCATGGCTTACCGGATTTACAGCAAAATAGCTTTGAAGATTGTCAATAACAACTGTCAGGGGAGCTTACTGAAATACACTGAAGCGATAGTTATCCGTAATATGAAGCTCTCAACTCCCTCCCCACTATGTGTACTGAAACCATTTACTGTTGTTCCTAGCCTACCTTCGTAGTTCGTTATCTGGTTATCATTTTTCCGATGACTTCGGTCTTCTAATATGATATGACGCCTATCTAAATTTATTCAAAAGTAAGGAGTGTTTTTTTATTAACTTAAGATTTATCTTTTTCTTTTTGTTTCATTTCAGAAAATACCATTTTATCATTTGATACTTCAACAAAAATTGGTCAGAAGTTAGCTTCTATCGCATCGATCTTTATGGGTGGTTTAAAGACATCAGAAGCTGACAACAAGACTGATGAAAGCACAGATAAGACAAAGCAGAAAAGGTATATGGACTGTTTAAACGCTTACTAGTCTACTGAAATAATTAAATTGAAAATATTTATTTCCCGATACGAATTTAAAACAAGCAATAAAGGTTAATAAAGCAGGATTTAATGAATTCATCAAATTTCGGTAGAACTCGTCAGCTGAATACTCTACATACACGAATATATATACTTTTGAAATTACATAGGGAGATATAAAACTGATAAGTAAACAAACTACATTGAATTAATCATGCAGAAAGACACGTGCGAATATTTTCCAGGTCATGTTCAAATAGATAAGGGGAGAGAGAGAGTATGAGAGATCAAAATTAAGATAAATTGCATTACGCTTCAATTACATCACTTAGATAAACAATTAGTCATTAGGGAATATAACGAGAATTGCAAACAGACTAATATCAATAGTAATAGTTTTAATAACAATAATAATAATAGTGTTGAAGTGAGTTAAGATAATCTTACGGATAAAGCATAGATTTACATGAATCAAGAATAATAATAATGATAATAATAACAATAATAGTAAGAAGAAGAGGTAGAATAATAGTAATAACAAGTAGAGAATAATAAGTAAAGCGTATTACCATGGTAGATTCAGAGTGACTACCATCTCCTTTTGTATACAGAGGGCTGGTTTGTAAATTCGAATTGCACAAGCCTCAGCAATTGCAAGCATCTTCTTGTTTCTTTGTTTGCTGACGATGCTGAATGACTTGACGGCGTCGATATCATGTCCATAATCCACGAGATGTTTTGTTATTGAGGATCTTGGGACTTTGCACTCAGCTGTTTTCAACCATTTTGGCAAATGCTCCATCATGCGAGTAGACAATCGCCTTTCCGTACGACCTATGTATTTGCTGCCACAAACACACTCAAATTGATATATGCAGTTTGAAGTGTCGAGGATTGGCGACTGGTCTTTCCCAGATTGTTGAAGCACTCGCTTGGTGGTGTTAAGGAAAACAAGTTTTGCAGCATAATAAGTTCTGTTGATGGCTTTGTCAAGTCTTCGTTTCACTATTTCCTGTACGTCATCTCCTTATCGATGTAATTGAAGCGTAATGCAATTTATCTTAATTTTGATCTCTCTTACTCTCTCTCTCCCCTTATCTATTTGAACATGACCTGGAAAATATTCGCACGTGTCTTTCTGCATGATTAATTCAATGTAGTTTGTTTACTTATCAGTTTTATATCTCCCTATGTAATTTCAAAAGTATATATATTCGTGTACGTAGAGTATTCAACTTATCAGTCTTATATCTCCCAATGTAATTTCAAAAGTATATGTATTCGTGTATGTAGAGTATTCAGCTGACGAGTTCTACCGAAATTTGATGAATTCATTAAATCCTGCTTTATTAACCTTTATTGCTTGTTTTTAAATAATTAAAGCCTGTGTGGCTGTCTATTATTAGCCCCCACCCCAGTTGTGCACGTCGTTCGGCTTTGATTCTCTACCAACGACTCATCTCTAAACCTAGCTTAGATAGTAGCAGGCCTGGGGAAGCTGGAGGGAAGGTTGAGTGTGAGGCTGGCAGCCGTACTCCGTGAAAACAACAAAAACAACAATAACACTTGATCTGCTGCCCAGACCCTCGGAACACAGAAGAATGAAAAAGCGGAGAATCTGAATCACTTATATCGGCCATCACTAAAGTGTAGGTTCCACTTAAATTCGAAGGCTAATCGATTGTCATTCAGGTCTTACGCCCTACCAGTCTATCAAATGAAATCCATCGAAGGGAATCTCTTTCCTTAATCTATTTCATTTCAAATGAGATGAATGGCTACTGTGCAAAAATTGTTCAGCAGCCGCAGACAAATGAAAACTCAGCCACCATTTCAACTGACCTCTCTGAATCGATAATGAAGATCTTATGATCAACTATACAGAACGGATGGGCAACAAAAATCTCTACAAAGTAGGTAAACAACGAAGAATCAGTCACCCTACAGCAGGTCGGGTGTGAGGACAAATACTCTCAGAAGGCAGTGGCTGGTAGTAGCTCTATGTCGTGAATTGACAAATGTCAGTGTTCATGGGCTGGATACTATATCGGGTCCCAGTGACTTAATGGTCTACGAGGTAGCTCGTCTTGTAACCAGAAGGTCCTGGGCTCGAACTATGGCATAGTTGTAGGTGCGTACTTCTGAAGAGTCCCAAACTAGGCTGACAACACAGACAGCTGTTCAGTACTCCCTGAAGGTTTTCTGGTAGTTCTGTGGCCGACCTCAGTTCATGATAGAATCCTGTAACCAATGAGTCAAATCCCTATAAATCGATACTTGGATACTATTTCACACTGTTGATTAACCAGTGGATTCTCAGTTCCATAACTCTGTTTTTGTTATACATTATATTTCTGGTCATATTGTATCCCACCACAAAACTACATCATCCCTGAATATATATATACATATTCATCCTGCATTTATGTCTTTCATTTTTTTGAAATGTGACCACTGAAATCTGGTAGAGATGAAAATCTTTCAGCTAGAAGATCCGGTAAATTTGCCAAAGTCGTGTAAGTCTTTGTTGAATTAACAAATTATAATTCTAGACCTTTTATGTCTTAAAGTTTTGCATTACTAATATGTGACGAAAGCCTAGAATTTCATTTCATGACCGCTCCCCAAACCTGGATGTGGTCCGGAGTTCGTCCACCCCGCAAACGCATTCCTAGCAAGTAGTAAGCCGATTAAACAGTGAAGTCTGGGTGCATAAGGCTAGCAACCTCACCGTGTATAAAAAAGTATAGCATCACGGCTACGCGAAATTTAAAGCTCGATGCTGTATGTTCCACTGGGAACGCAAAGGTATGAAGAAACTGACACACGTTGCCGTCCAATGAAATATATTATTCATGTTGAAAGCTTTCTTCTCATTTTTAATCATTGTTAGATCTAAGTAGATGACTGCTTGTGTTAGATTTCGTCGTTAATGAGTTTCGTCAGCAGAAGAGATCTAAACTTTCGAGGAAAGTAATGTTCTGTATGAGACATAAACATACTTCTTTCTTAACATACATCATTCATGTTATACCTACTACTCCACTTAATGATGTTGGCATAGCACAGATTATGAACAGACTTTGAGGAATCTTTGTGAAGAGAGGACTGCTATTTCAGCTTAGTCGTTTTACTCCTATATAACTAAAATTATGGCGTCTTGGGGGATATTTGGATTAATTTAATTTCTATTGTTCGACTTTCGTTATGAAACGAAATCAGTTGAAGAAAACATTGAAAGCCAGAGAGCACTACTGGGTAGCTTTTTCGTCCTGTTCCAAGACTCTTCAGCAATGCGGACCAGCGATCCTACCAGAGATTGGACCATCTAGGACTTTTAGATTATGAGACCAAGATAGTTGACCATTCAGCCACGTTTGGGCCGCCACCGTCAACAAATATGTCTTCGATGAGCACCTAATTCACGTTGATATTAACACAGTAGACCCCACTTGGTTTTCAATGATCTCTGTAACTGCTATTGTTTTGTAATGGAATCTAACATTCGAAATTAGTTTCGTGTTACGGATATGTTTCATACTTTGTAATGGAATAAAGTGAATAGTGAAACGACTAAAACCTGATTAATCTATTCAAAACGGAGGCTCTAATGAATGCCTCTCTCTCTCTCTCTCGCTGTCAGTGTCTCAATACCTTGGTGACTTAGATATTCATCAATGAGCTAATCATGTCATCTTTTATTCAATACAAATGTCTATTTCTCCTCAATCTGACTTAGTTACATCATCACTTAGCAGATGTCTTGCCTCATATTCTCTGATATCTAACTAAATGAGCTTAACTTACAATATGCTTTTGGCATATTCCACTTGTTTATTAGCGATTTTCTAATGACTTGGGTGATCATACAATTTATGCTCATCAGTATCTTGTTGGTACGCTTGTGCTTTTCGTTCCACAAACTTCGATTGCATTACATCAATAAATAATTAAAGCAGTTCAGTATTTATTGATTATTATTATTATTCCCATGGGTTCCAAGTGCAACACAGGCCTTCAGCAACACATTTCCATTTTCTTCAATTGTCTTCTGTCCTCTTCAGGCGGCTAGTCACATGGTCATCCATAACCCCTGTCATCTCCTCCAACTCTGACGACCTCCTCTACATCACCCTCACATCGACGACTAGCTTGTCCCTTCCTATTATGATTCCATTGAAACGATGACCTAAATTTAGCACGATGTCATCCGATGACCTCCTGAAAGTATGCCCCTATCCATGCATCTCCGCTTTCTCCTACAAATTCTGTTGAACAATCCGCTCATGGTTGGTTTTTTCATCTGCAATTAATAGTGTTCTCTGAGCTGGTTGGTTTAGTTGCGGAGCTTTCGTCGTCCCCCTGCTGGACAACATCTTCAGCGTAGGATTTTTAGGATAAATTGAAATGATTTAAATTTCTTCATGAGTGATATAATTGTGTCTCCCGGTGACCATCTTTAGATATGTATTGACCGTTTTCTATTGATTGGGATTTCAAACTTTCTGGTCATTTGATTTACTTTTTATTAGTTGATATATTTCATCTATATTAACGTGTTTGTGAATTGCATTTTCGTTTGAGTACCAGGCTTTTAGGAAAATCCCAATCAATAGAAAACGGTCAATACATATCTAAAGATGGTCACCGGAGACACAATTATATCACTCATGAAGAAATTTAAATCATTTCACTTTATCCTAAAAATCCTACGCTGAAGATGTTGTCCAGCAGGGGGATGACGAAAGCTCCGCAACTAAACCAACCAGCTCAGAGAACACTATTAATTGAAAATCATTCACCTGAGTTACAAATCTTTTCTATTATTGGTTTTTTCATCACCAGATCTGCTAGTTGCTAATTCATTTGGGGTCAGTTAGCTGACTATTTGACCTTCAGTATGAAGTCAGAGAATGGAGCAGCTATTGATAAAAGTCTGTAGCTGCCTCTTGGAAATCCTTTTCGTGACAGTCTGGCCAATTTTCTAATCCGTACATAAGAAATGAATGATTTTCCATTTGTGTTAAACAGAATCTGAATCTTGTTCTTTATGCTGGTTGAGTGTAGACAATTTTTACAAGCGGATTTCGGAGTAATGTAGTCGTCTGTCTTGCCTTTCCAATTCTAGCTGGATTTGACATCTTCATCTGGTTGATGATGTGATGCAATACAACGGGTAGAATTCAAAGGGTCGAAAATTAAGTTTGATATTGTTATGTCAGTTTCGCGGATGACTTATGTTTGATGTCACACACAATCGAAGACTTGCAAACGAAAACCGACAAACTGGTCGAAGAAGCAGCCGGCGAAGACAGGACTCCAGGTAAATATAGACAAGACGGAGGTTATGAAAATAACCAACCAACAACAGCAACAACATCCAACGTCATTCACCATCAACGGGAGGGATTTGAAAGAGGTTACTTCATTCACTTACTCATCTAGGGAGCATTGTCTCAACTACAGGAAGTCGGAACAGACGAGGATGTCAAATCGAGCGAGAATCGGGAAGGCGAGAAACACATTCATCAGCCTGAAATCAATCTGGAAATCTTCGTCACTCAGCATCACCAACAAAATTCGGATTTTCAATACAAACGTAAAGTCAGTTCTTCTATACGGATCAGAAACTTGGAGGGTGGGTTACGAAGAATATTTCAAACAGCCTGTTGCACACCAGATATTCATCAACAACTGTCTTCGCTCTATACTGAAGATCAGATGGCCCGGCCGGAAAGAATCACCAACAAGGAATTATGGGAACAAACAAAGCAAGATCCAATCGCCCAACAAATATGCAGGAGAAAGTGGAGATGGATCGGACACTCGCTGAGGAGACCGCTGGGTGACATCGCGCGCCAAGCCCTCGAGTGGAACCAGGCCGAAAGGGAAGCGGCGTGTGGGACGTCCAAGGGTGACATGGAGGAGATCGTGTGAAGAGGAGTTGAAAGAATATGGATTAACATGGATGCAGGCGAGAAGTACAGCAGTGGACAGAAGAAAATGGAGACGTGGAGTTGAAGCCCTATGTTCCACTAGGAACCCAAGGGAGCAATAATAATAATAATAATGTCAGATAAGGGAAAAACGGTTGGGAGAAGGTGGTTGAGGAATCAAACAGAATACCGAAATCAGAACACAACAAATTTCTGAGAAAAAGGTTATCAGGGAGACTAAAGTTCCACGATAGATACTTTTCGAACCGATAGGTCAGGTTTCAGTTTTTTTATTGTGATAGCTTCGAAAAAGCCGAGAAAAAACTTGGTCGATTTTGTCTGTTAATTATTTTGAATACTCCTAGTGTGTTTACTCAGTGTCTTGTGTCCATCAAGTCCTTGATAACTGGAATAATTCAAACTATCTGATCCCTTTTGGTATATATTTTTAAAGATTCTGAAATAGGCCCTCCTTTCTCTACTCCTAATGTAACTGCTTTTAGCAGTACTTGTCAATTTTTGATTATGTCATTAAGCAGGATGTTCAGAGTAGGCAGACTAGTTTTGCTTCCAAATACGTCCTCGTCAGTGATGTAACTTAGGGTTTATATATTTATCATTCTCATAATATTATCTTTTTGGCAAGAAACTCCACAGAAATAAGAGTTTTATGTAAGTTTTTTGTAAGATACCTGGGCAACACGAACAGCAACAACAACAACAGACAACAATCAACCAGCATAAATGGGAGAAATCTGAAAGAAACAACCTCCTTTACCTATCTACCTTCCTGGGAAGCACCGTTTCAACTACAGGCAGACGAAACTGACGGGAATATCAAAGCAACGAGGATTGGGATAGCAAGGTAAGCTTTCATTACTCTCAAGTTAACAGCAGTCAGCATCAAAAATAAGATCCGGATTTTCAACTCCAAAGATTAGCAACAGAAAGCTCTGGGAGCAAAACAGTCAGGAACCGATTGTGAAACAAATAGGCAGGAAGAAATGGAGATGGATTGGCTGGCCACACTCTGAGGAAACCATCAAGTGACATCACTGGACATCATTCGAATGGAACTCAAACGGGAAGCGGCGAGTTGGCCGTCAGTGCGAGGTTAACTTCTAGGAGGTCATGTGAAGAGGAGATGAAAGCATGTGGGCAGACGTGGAGCCAAGTGAAAACGTTGACAGAGAACCGAAGGCGATGAAGACGTTTGGCTGAATCTCTATGTTGCTCTAGGAATTAAGAGAAAATAATAATATTAGTATTTGTCGTTTATAGTTAACTATATACTGTGGAATTGTATACCGAGAATCATTCCTAATTACCGTTCCACATTGGTTTCTGTAATGAAGCGCATTACATTAAAGTTGTAACAATATGGCGACAGTTGTCTGCAAGACAATATTGTAGACAACAATTTACGTCAGTGTTTACATCCCAAATCTTGGTTATGAGAAAAAAGATGAAAAAAAATCCTGAGGAACTCAAAAACCAATCAAAGCGGACTCAACGTAGTCGGATAAGATTCACAGATATATTACCGGAATCTCTAAGAAATGGCCACAAAGAGAATACAGAATAACCTTGACCAAGAAAATAACTAATCAGAAGACGTTACCTCTCGGCTAACAATAACTTTAATAGTGATGTACATTAACGTCTATAAATATCTGTTGATTTTCTCAATAAACGAACTGTTGCCTGGTCATTGTCTTCTGTCGTCACAGTAGAAGTGGTTGAGTGATTTTCTTTTTTTATGCCTAACTCCGGTTTCAAGTGAACATAGAGAGGACGGAGGTGAAGAGGATAACCAACCGACCAACAACAGCAGTAACAACCAGTATCAATCACCATTAACGCGACAGATTCAGCAGAGGTTACTTCCTCCACTTATCTGGTGAAGAAGCATCGTTTATACCACAGATGACAGAACAGGTGAAGGTGTTAAAGCCAGTCAGAATAGAAGGGCAAGATAAGGCTTTATCAACCTGAAACCAGTTGGGAAATCTTCTGTACTCAATACAAGGAAAGAAATTCGGTTTTTTTTTTCAACACCAATATGAAGTTGGTTCTTCTATACGGGTGAGAAAAGTGCACTGCGTGTCACGGAAAACATATCCAACAGCCTGTTGTAGACTTTTATCAACAGCTGCCCCCTTCGCTGGCTCCATAATAAGAGATCAAATGGCCAAGAGAATAAGAAACAAGAAACTGGACAGTGGAATAAACCAACAAGCAAGCGGCGATTGCTCAACAGATGGAGAGATACATGGATCGGGCATACCGAATAAAAAATCACGCGGTAATCAGGCCATCGCTCGAGTAAAATTCTAATGGGAAGCTACGAGTAGGTCGTCACATCAAGGGTGACATAGAGGAGATGGTCTGGTGAGGAAGAGATGAGAGAGAGTTCGTTCAAACATGGACCTAGCTGAAGAGGATGGCAGAAGATGAGACAATGTGAAGCCCTATCTTCCACTCAGAACTCAAGGGAATAATACTAATACCTCCGATTCCTCTACCTAAATAGCCATAACTACAGCAATGAAAAGGAGGCGAAAGCTTATTGCGTTTACTGGATTATTCTTAACTTCGTAGATGACTTTTAAGCAGGCGTTTGCTGAGATGGAATGACGATTGTTGAAAAGGTGTTCTTTTGCCCCACTCCTCACTAAGCCACTGGTGCCTATCTTCAAACATTTCAAATAGTGTTTTCAAAAGCTTTTAGATGGGAAACGCATTGAACAACCGATGTACCCGGTTCCACAGGAACAGGTTGACTGATTTACACACACACACAGAAGTGGTCAGATGTGAAATCACCTCCTTTTGGCTTTTGCTGATCAGTGGACAACTGAAGAACGCTAATCTTAGCATTTCTGTGAAGAATGTTCTTATCCAAAATGCTAAAATTCTTCTCTTTTGGATATTGCATGTTAAATCTCCAACTTTTCTGGGGATATTGCATACAGATGTGACTTTACAGCGAAAGAATTCGCTGTGCGTCAGTGGCACAGCGGTTAGGACCCTCGCCGATCATGCACATGGTCCGAGGTTCGATCCCCTGCCGACGCACACCTGATATCTATGGTTGGACTGCAAAATTTAGGCTACCGATATCACATGCTGAAAATTTCATACCTATACCAAAAATTACGGTGTGTAATCAAGCTGTAACCAAAAGAAAAAAAAATAAATAGATAAAGAGCCTCTTCATCGAAGTAATTATTCTGTCCTTCTCATGAATAACTAGATGGGAATTACTCTTGAAGTACTTTTCTGCTTAACCTGTCTGTCTATCTGTCTGTTTTCGACATAGAACTTTGCACCGATATGCACCAGTTCAAGTCGCCACACTCCATGTAGCACAGAAGACAACAGAAGAAAGTAGAAGAAATGCATAGTAGGGAGAGTAAACAGAGGTGTAAGACAAAGGAATAGTAATAACGAAGAACAATGTAGTTTCATTTGAAATCATAAGTCACAGGGAGTGGATACATCTGCACCAGCCATTGAGAACGATTTTGAGCCATACCACCAATAGTTTCCATCCATTGGTTTTATTTTCCCGATGACCCCAACCAGGAAGTCTGCATCTTCCTACGTGACTTAAACTAACTGTTGTGAATTTCATTGATTGATGAAGCCATGTTTTGGTTTGACCACCAGTGGCTTTTTTTCAACTTGATCCATCCTATGTCAGGTAACATTGTCCGTCGAGGAAGGCGATGACCAGGCATACGTAACACATGTCCTAACCATCTCATTCAATGTAGCTTTACAGCCTCGCAGATTGATTTCCCCTGCTTACCCAGCACTCGACGCCTAATCTCAGTGTTGCTCACCTTATTATACCACGCCACCTAACAAGGGAGATAGAGCGCAGGCACCTATGATCAAAGACAGCTAATCTTTTCATGTCTTCCACTCTCAATGACCAGGTCTCACAGCCAGTCATAAGGAGGAGCAGTACACCCGCCCTTTGGTCGATAGTTGGATATCACGTCTACTAAGCCAGAGACGGCTTAAACTGGCATATGCGAAACTAGCCCCCTCTATTCGTGTTGAGATTTCGTCAGAGATCTTTGTAGTCTACCCTAGTCTTTGTAGTAAGACTAAACCAGTAAGGCAAGGCTTAAAATTTCACGAAATAACAAAACGACTAGAAAGCTAAAACTACTTTATCAACATTCAATTGATTTTCATTCTTTCCGTCTCCTTCTCCCATCATTTTAGAACTTCATTAAAAGATCCGAAGAGACGTGCTGCCGCTGCTACTGCTGCTGCTGCTGCAGGTACAACTGGTCAAATGAATCAAATCCCTGAATTACCAGAACATGAACATGATAAACAAGCAAGATCTTATTTAAAAGAACGTCTGTATGGGGATTTAGGTGAAGCATCAAAAAGGGAACAGGTTGTTGATTTGTATTGATTTTACTTAATTGGTTGGAGGATTTCGTTATGAGATGACATCGATTAGAGAACCATTGGAGTGTGGGGGAGGGAGTTCTAGGGAGAAGCCGTGAGAATAGTTGCTCATTGAAGAAGACATTGCAAAAGTGGTCGCGCTATGTAATGAATTGGTAGAAGCTAGAGTTCATAGGCTGGCCATCGGATAAGGTTCTACTGACTTAGTGGTCTACGAGCTAGCTCACCTTGTAACCGGAAGGTCCTGAGCTTAAACACTGAAGTAGTTGGAGGGTGTATACTCCTGAAGAGTCCCAAACTAGGATGGAAAAGCCAGCTGTCCATTACTCCCTGCTCGTTCTCCAATGGTTCTCTAACTGATGTCACCTCATGAATTATTGTTTCTTTGAAAGTTCCTATTTACTAGCGACCTATGCTTTGAGACTTCTGAATAAAGATGTTTTTACTGATTTTCCAGAGTAGTGTCGCTAGCTCCACACTCAGAAATACCATTTTTTCTGAGCTTAAGACCAGCTAGTAAACTAAGTGAGGAAGAAAGTCATTTTCCTTACTACAGCTGGCACAGATGAAGTTGTCAAGATCGAAAAAACAGCAGAGATCTTCATTGCTCTGAAACTACAGTGGGAATCTACTATTTTTTATTTATTTTATTTTTGATTATAGCTTGACTCCACACCGTATTTTCGGTACAAGTGTGGAATTTTCAGCGTGGATATCGGTAGCCCAAAATTCGCAGGCCGACCATAGATATCAGGTGTGCGTCGGTGTGGGCTCGAGCCCCGGACCATGTGCATGGTCGGCGAGAGTCCTAACCACTGTGCCACCGACGCACTGAGGATAAGAACTGGAATTCGGATTTCTAACACCATTGCGAAGTCAGCGCTTCTATATGGTTCAGAGACTTGGCGCGCCACTAAAAGCATTTCCAAGGGGTTTCTGTTTTCACTGGCATGGAAATGAAGATCCGATAGCCGACCAGAAAGGATAGACAACAGGAAAATCTGATTCTTAAATAGTCCGTTGACGGAGCTCCTTTTCGTTCATCCTTTCTGGTGGTGTTATCTGCCAGAGAAGGCAGTTGTTGGTAAAAGTCCCCAGACTGTTTAAAGTGCTTTTCGTGATGTGCGAAGTTTTTGACCCATACAGAATTGAGTGACATAATATTCATGAGAACAATTCAAATGTTTTTCTTTATGTTGAGTGTAGCAAATTTCCATACTGATGCCGGAATAATGAATGTCTGTCAGGCGTTTTTTATCTTAGTTTTGACATTCTAGTCCGTGCCGACTACTTGTAGTTCGAACACTGCCGTCTAGACGAGTGATAGAAGGGACTTCTTTCACATTTCTCCAGTTAGTTGATGGTGATTTATGCTGGTTGTCGTTGTTGTTGTCCGTTGGTTATTTTCATCACCTCTGTCTTCTCTATGTTCACCTGGATTCCTGTATTTTTACTTTCGCTGTCAATTTTTTGGTTTTTACCTGTAAATCTTCGCATCTTTCATAACATAAGACCCAACTCGACAAAGAAGTGTAGAACTTCTAGGGTCTTCTTATCCGTCTAACGTGTTCCTATTCGAAGTTATTACTTTTCAAAAGAATGGAGATAATGAACAAAGAATACACTTTTCGATAACCTCTTCATCATCAGGCCCTACAGTAACATATACATTATAGTGAATGAATGAATTAGTATTATGAACAACATTAATGTTTAAATAATATCGAATCAATAATATTGATAGATTACAAAACAATTTTCCTTCACGCTCCCAGTGGAACATAGGTGTTCAAGCCTGTGGCTTGAAGTTCCTGTAGCAGTGTTTGTCTTTCCAGGAAGAGCTTGCTAGCCTCATGCTCAACCTTTCTTCATTACCAGCATTATTTCTGGCTCAGCGATGTAAAGAAATGCATCGGCCGGGAGGATCTAACCCCGGATCATGTGCATGGTCGGCAAGCGTCCTAACCGCTGTGCCACCGACACACTGGCTCCTCGAGCGGGATGATAGATTACAGCTCAATATTTATTTATTTGTTGTTCCCTTGGATTCCTAGTGGAACATAGGGCTTCAACTAAACGTCTCCATTTTCTTTTGTCTTCTGCTATACTTTTCGCCTGCATCCATGTTAATCCATATTCTTTCAACTCCTCTTCACACGATCTCCTCCGTGTCACCCTTGGCCGCCCCACTCGCCACTTCCCTTTCGGGTTCGATTCGAGCAGTGGCCTGACGTGCGACGTCATCCAGCAGTCTCCTCAGCGAGTGTCCAATCCATCTCCACTTTCTCCTGCATATTTGTTGGACGGCGATTGGTTCTTGTTTTGTTTGTTCCCAGTCAGAGTTTCTTGTTGGTGATTCTTTCCGGCCCGGCCATCTGATCTTCAGTATAGAGCGAAGATAGTTTTTGATGAAAGTCTGCTACCTGTTTGGAGTATTGTTTGTGACCCGCCAAGTTTCTGATCCGGGTCACAGCTCAATAGCAACAACATAACAATACACTGACTGAATATCATAAAAATTAGGAAGGATAATATTACAAATTCATGAATTTATAGCCTCCACTGAAGGCTAGCCAGAGCAGTAGTAGTGGCTGAACTTGCTTCTTTTGCACACGGAACACTGGTTGTTTCACGCGAATTGCAATAGCCTCTGCTGTATTGAGTATTCGATAGGTACCTGGATGCTTTCTGCAATTTATTAGATACCCGAAAGATGATGGTGGCAAAGGATTCTTCAATGCTGGCTTTGTGGTCGGTTTGGACCAGATGATCTTATATCGAAGTGTTGATGGTTTTTCCTACGCTTTTACTAAGCCATTCTGGGAGATGTTCCCAAGCGAGCATGAAAAATGAAGTTCCTAGAGCGACGACTAATATAACTCGCTCCACAAGGGGATTTGAATTGGTAGATACCATTGGAAGTGGCTAGTCTAGTATAAGTACTTTGTCGTTTAATTGAGGAATCACCGTCGGTCGTGTAGAAAATGAGACTTGTAGTTTTCCAGAATTAAAAATTCTTTGAATAAATTTTCATAGCTTGCTATCAATGATTTCCCTCTGTACGTCACCCTTAAACTGCTTCTTGTTTACAGATAGTGAGCAGTTCTTTTCCGCTTTAAATTTGTCATGTGTTTCTTGATAAATTTGTCGGGATAGCTATTTTCATTCACGATATCATATACAATGCTTAGTTCATCTTCAGTTACCTCTTCTGAGCATATAACTCCAACTAACCTTGTGGCTGAGGGTCTTTGCTAAATTTCTTTTGTACTGGAGAGGAACAAATCTGTGAAAATTTGTAGATTGTCCCGTCCAAGTACTTTTCCCTTGCAAGTTTCTGTTTATACTGTCATCCGGTTTTCTTGTGAGGAGGATATCTGGAGAGGAAATCCTATATTAGGATTTCTTTTCGCATGTGAATTTCATAACCAAATGTACTTCTTTGATTGATTTGTTATTGTACTTTTATATGAATTATTATCACAAAGAATGAAGGTGTCATCCATACACCGGCAATAAAATGAGAATTTTCTGATAAGGTGGTTCAAAGGTCCATTTTCTAGTTCACTTTGAAAGAAATCTGCCCAAATGTGGGACCCACTGGGGAGCGCATCGCCATCCCGTCTATTTGTCTGTAAAATGCACCGCCAAATTTGAAATTTACATTCATTCGACACCTTAATAACACTTCTTTTAGGATTTCCGTTTAGGATGCCAGTATTTATCGACTGGTTATCCACTTATTGAATTGAATTTTTGATTTTTCCGTCGATTGATTGGACCGAAGTGCTCGGTCTCAGGTTGACATGTCGGCTTCTTGTGCAGATGCTTCGACGATGTCTGGGAATTTAGTTAGTATACAATTGGTGGATGGTGGCTAGCAGTGGAATCCAGGATGCGCATTTCGTCCTATTTGGGACTCGTCAGCTGGATGTACCTGCATTTCTCAGTGAGTGGTGATGTTCCCACCGAGGCTCGAACCCAGTGCCCATAGTTTCAAACGCCAAAGCGTTATCCACTAGACCACTTGGGCCACGGGAGCTACCTCTTGTGCGACGGGTCATATTAATTATTGAATTGAATTTTTGATTTTTCCGTCGATTGATTGGACCGAAGTGCTCGGTCTCAGGTTGACATGTCGGCTTCTTGTGCAGATGCTTCGACGATGTCTGGGAATTTAGTTAGTATACAATTGGTGGATGGTGGCTAGCAGTGGAATCCAGGATGCGCATTTCGTCCTATTTGGGACTCGTCAGTTGGATGTACCTGCATTTCTCAGTGATTGATGATGTTCCCACCGAGGCTCGAACCCAGTGCCCATAGTTTCAAACGCCAAAGCGTTATCCACTAGACCACTTGGGCCACGAGAGCCACCTCTTGTGCAACGGGTCATATTAATTATTGAATTGACGGGAAAATCAAAAATAATTAATATGACCCGTTGCACAAGAGGTGGCTCTCGTGGCCCAAGTGGTCTAGTGGATAACGCTTTGGCGTTTGAAACTATGGGCACTGGGTTCGAGCCTCGGTGGGAACATCATCACTCACTGAGAAATGCAGGTACATCCAGCTGACGAGTCCCAAATAGGACGAAATGCGCGTCCTGGATTCCACTGCTAACCACCATCCACCAGTTGGTTATCCACTTGTTCACACATGTAGTTAATTGTTTCAACTAGAAGTGCATTTTTGAATAGGGATGTTATGTTCAGAGATATTATGGAAGGTTGGGTGTGGGGCTAATGACTCTACCCCGGGAAATCATTCCAGTCGCTACATAAACCTCAAGTGAGATTCTACGGTACTATTTATACTTTTTATTCTGATTAAATTTTAGGAGATACTAATGCAGAAAATGAAACTACAATCGTTGAAATTCACTTCTGAATCTGCAAGACAACAAGATATCATTAATGAAAGAATTAGAGAGGCTAAAAGTCGTAAATTGAAATTGGAGAATGTTAATACCGATGAAACTGTTGGTCAGTTGCTGGAGATAAACAAAGAGATGGACGACATGTAAGTATCATCATTTTGAGGCAAACAATCATGTCTCACCTTTATGAATGGTTATCGAACGGATCAAATCCCATGGATTGTTTCAGGTGTGATCACAGGCAAACGTAGATTAGAAAACTATTGGATTACCAACAGTACTCACCAACCGTAATTCAAACCCAAAACCTCTCAGTTACAAGATGACCATTCAACCAGTGAAACCTGGTACAGCTGCCCCTCAATTCAAAATCCCACCATTTCGGGGTATTAAACATACGACCACTAGCTAGTGTCACTGGCGGTGAGTATATTTCCTCACTCTAACCGGATCACCCCCACCACTGGTCACGACTTCTCACTAGAACTGCAGGCAATTTCGTGCTGCAGCCAGTCTCCAGCGGGCGTCAGAAGACTCCCAGACTAAGACGAAACAGATGTCTAATCAGTACTTCTTGCCCATTTTTAAGTAGTTCTCGAAATGATGAAAGCTGGTGGTCGAACTTGAAATGAATCACGTCCTTATAAACTAACTCTTGAGTATTACGCTGCATTGATTGGGAAACACTTCTTGATTCCTAACTCGTTTGGTCTACTGATTATTGTTAGCGACTGAGTATGAAATGAAATCCCAAGAGTTCTAATGACAACTCATAATCACGGTGGCCGTTATGTTAGGTGGCTGGGGACAATATCTCGCAGGTGGCATTTGATAATGATAATGGAGCTATGTAGAACGAACTTACAGGTCATTGGTATTGTAACCAGTGGCCAGATGGAAGGCAGATTTCCATAGTAGACTGAAGGGTGTTTGTCGGTGAACACCCGTATACCCTGCTGGAAGATACTTCCCAGATGTCTTTTGTTTTCATTACCTCTTTAATTGATATCGATTCTTTCCACAGTTCAGTTTGAGCTCAATAAAATATCTATAGATAACGGGATTTTAGAGGATCCGGACTAATGTCATTTCATTAGAATTTAATTGGTTGATGGTGACTAGCACTGAAATCCAGCCAGGTTAACGTGCATTTCGTCCTATTCGGGACTCGTTACTAACTGGATGTACCTGCATTCTTACTTACTTTACTTTACTTCGGCTATTTCCTACGGGAGGATGAGCCGGCTTCATGAACCATGAAGTTTCATGGGAATTGGGTACGAGTGATGTCCCCAGCATTGCTCGGCCTTTGTTTGAGAGTGCAGCTCTAGCCTTTACACAACCAAGTGTGACCTACAAGGCATTAGGAGTGGAGTAGGGAGTCCACTATCCATTGGCAGCCGGTGACCGGAGTCTGGTTCATTCGCCTTTTTGAATGGGGCCAGTCATCCAGGGCATCCAATAAGCCCTTTGTCCATACGTCTGCCGGTGAACTCCGGTGAGCTTCATACGCCAGTCGTTGGAGGTTTGGAATCAGGGTTTAGCCATCTCCCCTAGACTGTCATCCAATGGGCAGTCAACCCGGTGGAGAGCGCCGGGCATCCGCTTTTGCCCTCTCACTTTGGTGAAAAACACCTCCGCCACGTGAAGGCAGTGAGTAGGACTTCCTCAGGAGAGGCTATGTAAGACGCCCGGTCATATGGGAGCATTTCAAGAGGTGTACGGAGGGGTGGCCAACCCGCAGCGCAAGGCACCCATCCCCGACCATCCTGAGGCTGCATTCGGCAGTGAGTGATGATGTTCCCACTGAGGCTCAACGGGAAAATCTAAAATTCATTTACATAATGTCATCTCACTTTAAAACGTTTTGTCACTGGGTACTAATAATCCCACAAGGGATAGCACCTAGGACCTCTTCTTACCTAAAGCTAGCCCTAACGTGAAAATATGCCTAAACCTACCTTAATCTAACTTGAACTAATCCTAATGTTACCTTTGATAGGTTAACCTAATCCTTACTCGTCCTTGACTTAAAGCGCAACTTAATCTACACGGTGCACACTGATTTGATGATATTAGATAGTTGCAGGCAAATGGCAGGACTAGACACATCACACCAATTACTAGTACTCAATTAAACTATCCATTACAGTTCTATACGAGGTCAACCGTGAGCCCAAATACCTCCTCAGTGGTAACGTCTCTGACTGCAACACTGCGCGACACAGGATCAAATCTGAGAAGGGATATGAGTTCCTTTAAGTTTGAAGATACGTCTTACTGAAAAGTGCAAAACTAGCAAGACACTTAGGTCCAAGGCTTCCTGTCAATTGCTTCCAAACATCTAATATCATCAAATATTATTATTATTATTTAAGCTGGTGGTTACAACTGCACTATTCCGTACATTTTGAATAACACTTTTAGGATTTCTTTCCATTAATGAGAGCATGATTCCATTCTGAAAGGAAACACTTTCACTAATTAGCTCAAAAACATCCAGCTGGTAGGTTCCAGGTAGGAATAAGTGACTCTTCTACATTTCACTGCCAACCGCGAATAAGTAAGTAATATTAATAGTGAGTATATTTCTAAACCAAGTTCATTCACATTTAATATTTGCAAAAAATCAATTTGAGCACTACCTATATGATATTTATTGCTGTAAGAAACCAATTTGTATTTTTACGAGTTTGGCCACTAATTGATATTGTGGTGAGAGCAGGCCGTGAGAAAATATGTACAAGGCTGATTCAACAACCAATCACAGCAAAGTTAACGTGGCAAAATATGATTCGCAGATAGAGAACTCTATTTGTCGAGGAATCCCGAAACAACCAATCAGAAGCCTGCGTTTGTCTGCCTAACTTCTGATAAACAACCAATCAGATAACTGCGCTTGTCTACTTGCATAAGCTATAATAATGTATGTGAAATATGTATAAATACGTGTTGATTTTCATAATAAAACGATCTGTTGCCTGGCCCTTGTCTTCTGTTGTTACAATATCAGTTAGAGAACCGGGGAAAACCAACCTAGGAGTACTGGACAGCTGTTTAATCCTAGTTTTAGTTAGAATTGTCTTCGTTACGCACCCACTGGGGTTTGAACGGATGATCTTTTAGTTACAAGACAAGCTGGCTCGTATACTATTCAGCCACTGGGATCCGTATCAATGGCCAGCCTATGAATACTAAATTCTACCATCAACCAATATCGTCGGCGGGAAATCCATCCTCACACATGACTGGATGCACCTCACTAGTCGCAACGACATTGTTTGGGGTCGCGCTAAATCACGAATTGGAAGAAGATAGAATTCATGGGCTGGCTGGACATAAAATCAGGTCCCAGCGGCTGAATGGTATACGAGCTAGCTTGCCTTGTAACTGGAACCTTCTGGGTTAGAACACCTGGTAGTGGGTGCGTACTGCCAATGATTCTCAGACTAAGGTGAAACAGTTTTCTAGTACTGGCAGTTGGTTTTCAATGGTCCCTCAACTGATATCAATCCGTGGTCAACTTGTAGAACGAAAAATAATCCTTACAAACCAACTACAGAAAATTTGTATTTCTCAATGAATAAAAAAAATAAAACAACATTCCCGGTTCTACTGACGTCTCACCACATAAAATGTTGCTGATAGTTTTATCAAATCAGTAATATTAAGTCAATTTACTAAATCTCAGCTTATTTTAGGTAGCTTAATCACAGTTCTTCAGTATGAAGTAATTTCTACCTTATTTTCAAGACATCACATAATAATCATAATAATAATGATTTACTTTATTCCAAAAAGACAGTACTTGTGATACAGAATGGAATTTTCAGCATTAATCACACACAATATTGCATCTAATTTCCTCAAATTATCAATAAAATTAATCACACAGAAAATTTTCCACATTTACAATAGGGTGGGTAATGTCAAAAACATGCAGTATATAAAATGGAAATAATAATAATAATGATAACAGCTAGGGTAATAATAATAAGAATACAAGTGAAAATTACTGTGGGCTTGTTTCACACAGTATTGGCAATGTGGTATAGAAATCCTAACATGTTTAAAAATATTCAATATAATGTTCTCTTTACATGATATGGTGAAGGGAAAAACAAAGATTACGGCCGTCATGGAGATAAGTTGGTGTTTGCAATTCTGAGAGTACAAAACAGAGAAGTAACAGGACCATAAATATAATAGAAATAATAAAAGTACAACTTGAAGGTACATAAGGATGGATGGATGGAGGAAATTGTTTATTTACTAGATGAAAAAAGGTTAGTTAATTCTTGCCTGACACTATTTTCATCACATAAAATACGTGCCAAGTATGGTATCATAGAATTTTTATACTTGGACGTGCGAGCATACAGTTTTCTGAAATTACTCCTTGTTCTACCTGAGGAAATGCAAGGTGAAAGCTGAGGGTAAAGCGGATGCTTCAAGTCAGACAAAATTCCCCTAGCAAATTTATTGCACGAAGTCAAGTGTCTACCGACAACGATGTTAACTATGTGGTACACTGGGACACCACTCACCCTACTGACCGTCTTCAGCATTCTGCGAATTGTGACATAGTCCTTTTTAAGCAAACCAGGAAAGAATAAACAGGGGTGAACAATAAAGAAGAATAGGTAGGGTGCAAGAGTTTATGAACTGTAAGAGGAGGGATTGACTGATACCCGAGTGTCTTAACTTCTTAATGTAAAATGTCAGGCGGAATATTTCACTGGAGATTGCTAAGACATGGGAAGTCCAGGAGAGATCAGAAGAGAGAATAAGTCCAAGATACTTAATTTCTAATTTGATTCCTATATCATTGTCGTCAATTTTACAACTGTCATGAGAATCGATGACTTCTTTTAACTGTCTTTTACACCTTAAGCTGAAATAAACAGTTTGACATTTGGAAGGATTCAGTTTAAGACCGTTAGACTCAGACCATTTGCTGACTCCCGATAGAAAGCTATTTATTTTAGTACAATCTAGCTGGGAGTTAACAGCCATTGAAACCGTTAAATCATCAGCGTACTTCACAAAGTTTGTTTCACCAGAGTGAGGCAAGTCATGCAAGAAGAAAGAAAAAAGAAAAGGAGAAAAGACAGCGCCTTGAGGGACACCAGCTTCAGTAGGCAATGAAGTGGAAGAGTTTCCCTTATAAACGGTGTACTGCTTTCTTTCTGAGAAATAGGAACGTAACCAGTTAACTGCCCAACATTCTGTTTTACTAGCAGCAAGTTTATTTAATAAGATGTCCCTAGGAACATAAAGACTTTGAAGGATATATTATCTGGGAATTGACATCCTCAGAAGTTCTCCAATAAGTATTATAAAGAAATGAGCTCCAGTAAAAGTATCCAAACAGTTCCGAAGGAATCTGTCTATATCAATTTGCCATTCAAAGGAGATGATGTGTACAAGAAGTAGTTAAACGAAGACTCCATGAAGTTATCACAACAGAACTTATTATGCTGGAAAACTCGTCTTCCTTAACACCATTAAGCGGGTGCTTCAACAGTCTGCGAAAGACCAGTCGCCAATCCTCGGTATTTCAAATATGGCATGTCAATTTTGATGAGTGTGTTTGTAGAAGCAAATACGTATAGGTCGTACAGAAAGGTGATTGTCTACTCTCATAGTGGAGCGTAAACCAATTCCTTTTTGAGCAGTTGTTATTGCGTAACATTTTGAATAAGAACAATTTCTCAACTTTCACTCTTTCTTATTATTACTAACTTGTCATCTACTTATCTCCACCAACATTTTATTGATGACATACATGAGTTTGAGCTAATTCTCTTCGCAAAAATCCATGAAGACATTAGCTATCAACATTGTGTGTAAAAATATTGAAATATAATTTTAATTAACTCTACTACTGTTGATTATGGTAACTGCAAATGAAAGTTGAGAATTTCTGACTATATGTATACTACTGTTTTCTATGTTTGTAATACTACTTATATTTGTATGAATAGTAGTAGTAATGAATGAATGATTTTTTTAAAAAATTACTTTTTATTCAAGTTATCAAAAAGATCGCGAAGAACATGAAAAAGTACTCAAAGCCCGCATAGAGGAACAAAAGAAATCCGATAGTAACAGTGAAGAAAGGATCCAAGAGAAACGATCTAAAGCTGCTGAAAGTAGAGCATTGAAAAAGAAACGTCCTTTACCTATTCTTGAGTAAGTCTTTTTTTAAATAATAATAACAACAGTAGTATCTTTATTCTGGACAGTGTTCATATAATGTATAGAATTTTCAGAGGAGTTTATTTTACTAAATCTTCTCTTTGTACAACACCTTCAAGTGAAATATTAATTGACAGTATATCCTTCCTGTGAAGCATCGACGCGACTTACTTGAACTAGTTAGCTCGCATGATCCCTGTAGCATAGATGGCACAGAAATTGAAACCCAGTCAAGCATTAAATACCTTGGATTAGTTCTTTCCTCTGACCTTTCATGGTCATCCCAAATCTTATCCATCTCTAAGAAAATGTTTCGTCTTACCTTCTACATTAAAAAGTTAAGACAATCAGGTATCAACCAACCTTTATTTTTGCAATTTTTAAACTCCTGTATTTTACCTATTGTACACTATTGCTCTCCATTAATCTTTCCTGGGCTTCTCAAAAAAGATTATATCATATTACGAAGAGTATTAAATGCTGTGAGTAGAGCTTGTGGTCTGCCACTGCATGAGCTCGCTAATACTATAGTCGAGAGGCATATAAATTCCTGTACGAAATGGGCAAAGGCTATACTGTCAGACCCTCTGAACCCCCCTTATTCACACCTGTCCCCTTGTATCTCATCAGGTAGGATGAGAAGGCAATATAAAAGTTATATGCTCGTACTACTAAGTACAGAAATTCTACAATACCCGATTTAGCGCGTACTTTATGTGACGAAGACTCTGTTAGACGTGAAACTTACAAGTTACTATGTAATTAGCACAGTGAATCGACCCTTTCATTGTTCATCTTTCTGTATTTTATGGTGTCACACTTTCTATCGTTTAATTGTTACTCTGCTATTTTATTTTAGTTGATATTACTATTATTACTACAATTTTGTACCTTATGCATATTTTTCACCTTATTGCATATGGTATTTTGCTATGTAGCTGCTGTAAAAATCGTTTTATTATTATTATGTAATGTGTATTTTTAATTTTTTTTGTCGTTTTTGAGTAAATAGATGCAATATTGTACTGAATGCTGAAAATTCCTTGCTGTATCATTAGTACTGTTTTTGGAATAAAGCAAAAAAAATTATTATTATTATTATCTCTGAACTGAAGCATAAACCATTCCATAATGATATATCTGCTCTCCCTCCTTCAAGAAATCCACGATATCGATCTGGTCGAAAGCCAATTGTAAGATGTTCACAGGTACATTTTGAAACCCAAGGACAAAGCTGAAGAACAGTTATCTCATGTCCTATCGCGACACGTTGCTACACCCACAATTAGGCCTTTTCTCAAACTTATTAGAAATTCGCGAAACATAAACATAAGAGGGGTCATATCTTAATCGATTGAAACAAACCAAACGAAAGAAAAAACATATACAACAAACAGATGGAAATTTTCGTCAGCCTAAGTTTTAGGCAGGTTCCCAAAGATGATGTTATACAAATAGTTAAGCGTATAGTTTTTTTTTTAACAGTCCTTCATGTTGTCTTATAAAAGAATAACAATAATGTGCTGAAGAACTATATTAAAGCCCTTACAGTTTTCTTTGTTCTCTCTTATTCGTCATCGTTGGGGTAGTAGAATTTTCCAGATATCTGGCTGGACAGGTGTTGAATCATTCCTATTACAGGTGTTTGTAGTTGATTAGATAAATACAGCTTCCATTATCAATCTCTCTCTCTCCCTTCACCCTGCTGTTACATTAGATTTTAAAACTGTCATCTTATCCCATCCATCCTATTGTATGTTTGGTTGTGTGTAATTGCATGTAGTGCTATAGCTGAGCTGTTCTCTAGATTTCTTATCTTATTTGGGTCAACCAATTTAGATTTTGCTAGGTTTTTATGTTCGGCTAGTCTGACTGCCCCTCTTCTACTACTTTGACCTATGCATTTGACATGACCATCATCGCAGACAGGGTATTAGATAAACTAAATTGTTTTGTTTTATAGGCTCCACAGGACTGATCTTTTAACCGACAAAGCTTGTTTCTAATTGAGTTTGTGGGCGTGGTTTGAATGCCAGCCACTTTTACTCCTGTCTTGTTGAGAATTCTGTGTAAGGTGGTTTCTGAGGTTCCTTCCTTGTATGGAATTACTGTTGATGATTTAGATTCCTTATTGTTGGTGTCGTCATTATCCTAAGCATATTTGACATACATTTCGTCATTGACATTACTATTATTATTATTATTACTATTATCATTATTATCATCACTATCACTGTAACAACAGAAGACAAGGGCGAAGCAACAGATCGTTTTATTATGAAAATCAACACGTATTTATACATATTTCAACTACATTATTATAGACAAGCGCAGTCATCTGATTGGTTGTTTAGGTAGACAAACGCAGGCTTCTGATTGGTTGTTTCGGGATTCCTTGACAAATAGAGTTCTCTATCTGCGAATCATATTTTGCCACGTTAACTTTGCTGTGATTGGTTGTTGACTCAGCCTTGTTCATATTTTCTCACGGCCCATATTAGTGACCTAGACCTTAACGTAGATTAGTGCCAACCAATCGGCTAGCAGCCTGCTCTCACCACACTCGTCCCCCCGTCAAATAGCTTCGTGCGCAGACGTTCCGACCTTCTGGGTGCTACATCCTCTAGTTGAGGATTGTTACTGACCGGCTTGTCCCACTGTACCCATCTTTGGAGCTGACTGGCGTTAACTCGTTTCTGTTTATCACCTCTTCGGATGGTATATACTTGACCCCGTCTTTTTGTGATTGTGTATGGTCCTTCCCACTTTGGAAGGAGTTTCCGTGAACCTAGCCCGCCTCCAACTGTATATCTCCTGTCTCTACACTTCACTTGGTCCCCGACTGCAAAGGTAATGCACTGCGTCCTTTCTTTCATCTGAGACTTCATGACATCACTGCGCTGCTTCCGTATTACATTCTTGACTGCCTCTTTCCTCTCTGCTTTTAATTTCGTCGTACTCCACTTTTGGTGCATGGGCCAGGTCTCATTGTGTACCGGTAATCGTGGTTTTCTACCATACATCAGTTGGAAGGGTGACTTCTTCGTTGTTTCCTGAGTGGTAGCCGATGTGTTAGTAAAATCAGTGGAAGCTCCGTTTCCCAGTTCCCGCCCTTCGAGGCCAGCCACTCCTTCAGTGTACGGTTGTTTCTCTCCGTTAGGCCATTCGTTTGTGGATGGTATGGGGTCGTTCTGATCCTCTTGATGCCCAGCTGTTGCAAACGGGAAGTAAACTCTTCACTCTCGAAACAGGGACCTTGGTCTGTCAGTATTGTCTTCGGTACGCCGTGGTCTGCAACAATGTGTCTAACTACTGCATCTGTCACGGTTCTTGCACGTTGGTCTGGGATTGCTACGGCGTCTACCCATCGTGTCGCGTGTTCCGTCATCACCAAGAGGTACTGATTACCATTGGATGTCTGAGGAAATGGACCCATGACATCTACGGACCACAAGTCACCTATCGCGGTAACTGGAATCGACTGAAGTGGTGGTCGTATACACCGGTCACCTTTCATCAGCTGGCACCGTGGACATCCAAGTACGTATCTTGCTACGTCTTCTCTCATACCTGGCCAGTACATACTTTGTCTTAGGAGATCGGTCGTTCTGGCCACGCCTGTATGCGCTAGCTGGTGACATTCTTCTATCATGTCGTGGCGCGACGATTGAGGTATGACAGCCAGCCAGCTTCCGTCGTTCTCTCGCCAGGTCAGAGTCCCGTAGGCATTCACTCTGAGTCGATCCCTCTGTCTGAGTAGTGTGGTTAGCTCCTTACTCGCCGTAGTTTGATCCACTTCTATTCCGTTGGTGATCACCTGTATTACTGTATTCAGCGTATCGTCCAACCTCTGCCTACGTGCAAGTCTTAGTGGGTCTTGTTCTACTGCATGCACTCCGTAAGCGACCTCGGGCAACTCAGACTCATCTTCTGGTCTCGATAACAAATCTGCCAAGACATTTTCACTTCCAGGAACGTGTGAGATCGTAAAATCGTACTCCTGAAGACGCAACATCCACCGTGACAACTTCCCCCGTGGGTCTCTCGCTGTCTTCAAAAATTGTAGCGGCTTATGATCAGTTTCGATGTGGAACCGCCGGCCGAGTAAATAAGGTCTCCATTTGTCGACTGCCCATACCATTGCTAAACATTCTTTCTCTATCGTTGAATACTTTCTCTCTGCGAGTGTCAAAACCCTACTGGCATACTCAACGATTCCCTCGTCCTGTCTTAGGACCGCACCTATAGCGTAGTCACTGGCATCTGTGCACACTGTGAACTGTCTTCCTGGCACAGGTAGTTTTAGCGTCATTTGTTGGTGGTCGAGCAGCTGTTTAATTCTGTCGAATGTCCTCTGCGATTCTTCCGACCAAACAAACTTTGGCTCACCTAGTAGCCTGTATAGAGGGGCTGCTATCTCATTGAAGTTCTTCACGAAGCGGCTATAAAACGCTGCTCTACCCAAGAATTGTCTCAGTTTTCTCTTTGAATTCGGGGCTGGAATCGTTTTAATCGTCAAAATTTTCTCCGGCAGTGGTTTAATCTCACCATTTCCCACTTTATGTCCCAACAGAGTAACATTCTTTTTGGCTATCTGGGACTTGGTTTTGTTGACGCGTAGTCCAAACTCTTCGATGCGTCGCAGCACGGCTTCTACATGGTTGACGTGATCGTTTTCGTTTTGACTGTATATGACGAGATCATCACCATAAACCTCCACGTTTTTCAAGTTCCTAAGTAATAGCTTCATCAGTCGTCTGAACGTAAACGGTGCACCTGCTAGTCCAAACGGCATGCGTTTAAATCGATATTGTGTCTGACCCACGATGAAAGCCGTCTTATCTCTATCACCTTGTTTTATCGGTATCTGCCAGTATCCTGAGCGAAGATCGAGAACCGAAAACACATTCGCACCTTGTAGGCGATCTAAAGTTTCTACCACTGTTGGCATGGCACACGGTCTTAACTCTGTCATACTGTTTAACTGTCGAAAATCAACACAGAATCTATACTTCCCATTCGCTTTTTTTACTAACAGCACTGGAGAGTTGTACGGGCTATCAGCTTCCTCAATAATGTCATCTTTTAACATCTCTTGCACTTGTCGCTCCACTTCGCCTTCCAGATGACATGGAACTCTTCGCGTTGTAAATGACCTTACTTTCGGATCACTTAACGGAATTTCATGATTCACCTTATCGCAATAACCGTATGGGTCGCCATCTCCAGTGAACAGATGATCGTATTTACTAATTAACTCTGTCACATTGTGTACCGTCGGCAGCTTAATCGCTGCTATCTCGCTGGTCTCATACATGTTGATATGCCCGTATTTCGTGACCACCACGTTCGCTTGCGTGTCGATTATGGCACCAATCTCACGCAGAAAATCCGCTCCTAATATCGTTCGCTGTAGTTCGGGTACAACAATGAAAGGAAACGTCACCTCGCAGCCACCAACAACGACCGTACAGTTCGATCTACCCGTGATACGCAACACATACCCGCCTACTGTTTGTACTGTCAATGAACACGGGCTAACACTCTTACATAAATTCTTATCTATTAACGACACGGCCGCCCCTGTATCTATCAAACATACTACTTCTCGATCATTCACTCGCAACTTCGAATACAGAGCCCTTTCTCAATAGCCCCCACTAAATCTAGGTTCATACGAAAGAAAGAACAAGCATTATACCGTCTGAAATTTTTTCTTTTTCGCCTTTCTGGGCAGTATCTTCTCCAGTGTCCCGGCTTACCGCATTCAAAACACCGGTCTTTTCTATCAGCCAACTTTAACGCCGCCACTTCCCGCTGCAATGCTTCAATTTTCTGCTCATATTCGTTTGGTTTTGGTTGGTCTATAGCGGCTACCGTTGTGCTCAGCAGCTGTCTGGTCACCTTCGCCAGCTCGCTAATATCCATCGGCTGCGTTGCGTTAACCAGTTGTAATCGCTGAGAAATGTGGTCTGGGACACTCTCGATGAATTGGGAAGACAGTAACTGCGCTTCTGATTCTTCATCTAAAGTGGGAAGCGCGCGTCGAAGTAGATTAGTCAGTTTCACCGCCAACACTAGCGGGTCTCCATCAGGTCCAAGCTTCATTGACCGGAACTGCTGCATTGCTAGCTGTCTGTCTGTTTCGCTGTCAAACTCGGACACTAGTCGTTCAACCAATTTCTTCCAAGACGCTGTGCCATTTGACCTGTCTACGCTGTCATATGCAGCCTTCGCTCGGCCTCTCAACAGCGTCCCCAAGACAACTGCCTTCGCTGCCTGCTCCTTGACACCCACCAGCTCAGCAACAGCCTCGAAGTCACGTAAGAAGCTCCTTATGTCTCCTTCTTCAAACGCAGCTGGCCACGGGATCTTCATTTTCTGGAGGCAGCGACACCAAATGTAACAACAGAAGACAAGGGCGAAGCAACAGATCGTTTTATTATGAAAATCAACACGTATTTATACATATTTCAACTACATTATTATAGACAAGCGCAGTCATCTGATTGGTTGTTTAGGTAGACAAACGCAGGCTTCTGATTGGTTGTTTCGGGATTCCTTGACAAATAGAGTTCTCTATCTGCGAATCATATTTTGCCACGTTAACTTTGCTGTGATTGGTTGTTGACTCAGCCTTGTTCATATTTTCTCACGGCCCATATTAGTGACCTAGACCTTAACGTAGATTAGTGCCAACCAATCGGCTAGCAGCCTGCTCTGACCACATCACTACTATCATTATTTCTTTTATTTTTACATTTCCCTGCATACTTTCTGACTAATTAATCAGGGTAATTATCAATTTTAAAAGCTGCTCTTTTATGCCTCACTTCCTGTCTTAGATTTTCCCTGGTACTACTTAGTTTTTGTGCTCTGTCACTTAAACATTTCACCAATTCTATTTTTACTGACATAGGATGGGACGATCAGAAGTTCAAATATCTGTTTGAACGTGTGGGCTTCCTATAAAACACTAGTGTGTTTAACTTCCCATCTTCTTTCCTTTTTACGTTGCAATCTAACATTGGAAGTTCCCCTTCATGACTTTCTATTTTATAAGTGAATTGAATTGCCTTCACCTACTACTCCTATCAGGAAATAGGAGAGAACAGAGAAGACTATAAAATTCAAGTTTCGAAATATAAAATTTAATAAGTCAAGTGGATGTATCTGGGTTTACAACTATAGCCTTGTTGCGCGTAGTTTCCCCATTCATCAACAACTGTATAGCTGAAATTTTATGCTACCTACCACAAACTGGAAGATATGCAAGTGAAAAGTAACAAGTTGGCAGAAGAAGCATCAAAGATAGGACTTCAAGTGAACATAGATAAAACAGAGGTGATGAAGATTCCTAGCCAACATCAACAGCAGCAACAACAACAGACAACAATCAGCATAAGTGGGAAGAACCTGAAAGAAACAGCCTCCTTCACCTACCTGGGAAGCATCGTCTCAACTACAGGCGGACGGGAGTGACAAGGATATCAAAGCCAGAATCGGAAAAGCAAGACAAGCTTTCATTACTCTCAAATCTGTGTGGAGGTCAACAGCCCCACTCAGCATCAAGAATAAGATCCGAATTTTCAACTCCAATGTAAATTCAGTGCTACTATACGGATCAGAGACTTGGCGAGTCATAAAGAGCATCTCAAACAAACTTCAGACCTTCATTAACAGCTGTCTCCGCTCAATACTCAAGATCAGATGGCCAGAAAAGATTAGCAACAGGGATCTCTCGGAGCGAACCAATCAGGAACCGATTGTGAAACAAATAGGCAGAAAGAAATGGAGATGGATTGGCCATACGCTGAGGAAACCATCAAGTGACATCACTAGACAAGCCGTGGCTCGAGTGGAACCCGAAAGGGAGGCGGCGAGTTGGTCGTCAGTGCAAGGGTGACTTGGAGGAGGTCATGCGAGGAGGAGATGAAAGCATGTAGACAGACCTGGAGCGGGGTGAAAAAGTTGTCAGAAAACCGAAGGCAATGGAGGTGCGCAGCTGAAGCCCTATGTTCCTCTAGGAACTAAAGGATACAATAATATAATAATAATAATAAATGAGTTTATCGATTCAAATAATTTGAATTATTTTTTATCTTATTATTATTCCCTTGAATTCCGAGTGGAACATACGCCTTCAACAACACATCTCCACTTTGTCCTGTTTTCTGCCGTCATTTTCAGCTGACTAGCCATACGACTGACCGAACTCTTTCATCTCTTTCTCACCAAACGAACTCCTCCATGTCACCCTCGCAGTGGCGACTCACTCATCGCTTCCCATTTTGATTCCACTTGAGCACTAACCCGGTGAGCGATATCATTCGACGGCCTTCCCAGTGTATGCCAGATCCATCTCTACTTTCTGCTGCATATTTGTTGGGCGATAGGCCCTTTGCTTGTTGGTTTGTTTCCACAGTTTTTGTTGTTTATTCTTTCTGGATATTCTATCTTCAGTGTGGAGCCAGCAAAGTTGGCTGTTGATGAAAGTCTACAACAGGCTGTTGGAAATCCTTTTTGTGACACACAGTGCGAGTTTGTGACATACGTATAGAAGAGCTAACTGACTGACTTCTTATTTGTGCTGAAAATCTGAATTTGTTCTTTGTGCTGAGGTGGAGTGTAGGTTGATGACCGCCTGCGTATCTTGCCTTTCCGATTGTTGCTATCCAGCTTTGACATTTTCATCCGTTCCGACTGTCTGTGGTCGAAGCGATGCTTCTTAGATGTGTGAAGGTAGGAGGTAACCTCTGTCAAATCTCTCCATTCGACGGTGATTGATACTAGTTTACGTTGTTTATGCTGCGGTTCGTTGGTTATATTCATCAACTCCATCTTCTCTGTCGTCACTCGGAATCCCGTCTTAGCCTCCTGTTTATTGGTTTTCTCTTGCACGTTTCTGAGTCTGTGTGACATTAAAATTACGTCATCTGCGAAATTCAGGTGTTCTAGGGTCTTCTTCTTTGTCCACATTATTCCTACTGTGTCATTTCACGCAATCTTATGCATAATGCAGTCCTAAACAATTAAGAATAACATTGGTGATAATATGCAGCCAACTTGTTCTGGTCTTACTTTTGTATGCACTTCGAACGCCTTACTGAATTTTCCGTTGTGGATCACTTGACATGTGGCATTGTTATATAGCCAGCTGTTGAATGAGGTTGATAATGACTTGGGCACTGCAACCCGTAGTGTTGAAGCAATTTCCAAATTACTTCTTAGGCAACGCCATATGTCGAAGGGCTTCTAGAAGTCGATGAAGTTGAGGTAGGCAAATGTTTGACTGCATTTCTATGCTTTGTTGGATGATGATGATGTGTAGAGTTGCAATCTGGTCAGCAAATGACTTGCCTTTCGTGAATCCAGCTTATCCTGGCGGGCGCCATTCTGTATCCAGTGAATTCTCTATTGTCTCCAGGATGACGCAACTTGGTATTTTACTTGGCGTGGACAAAAAGCATTATTCCACGCCAGTTCTTGCACAGGCCTAAGTCGCCCTTCTTTTGTAGCTTGATAAGGTAGCCAGCCTTTCTTCCAGTTAGTAGGCAGCTTTCCTTCTCTTCGAACCTTTTTCCGTGATAGCGTTAGCACGTCTGCTACAGTCTTTGAGTTCGTCTTCAGTGCCGTCGGGAGGAATTCCATCTGGACCTGCTGCCTTCCCAGCTGGACTTCACTGTCCTGATCGCACTTAGGGCTTCTGCTGTCGTTGGAGGATTGGTGTCTACTGGCAGTTCTGTGTGTGTTGTTAGTGGTATTTCTGGGCGACTGGTAGGTTATGGTCGGTTTAAGAATTCACATTTCTAATGTAACCTGCTTTATTTTGTTTTACTTTAGAGATTTAGAGAAATACGAAGCTGATGTTGAAACTGGCAGTATACCTTCTACATCGCAAGGGAGTGAAAATGCTCAAAGGTCTGGAAAGAAAGGTAAGGTAGTCTCTTTCGTCTTTAATTTTTAAACACTTTTAGTGGAAAAGTTAATTTACAGTGTATACTGTATATAGATTTGGTAGTAAGATAAGGCTGCCTACTGTCATTGTTGCTGCTCTTGATTACGCTGGACCAAATCGTCCAACAGAATGTGGTAGATGAGAAGGCAAGCCTAAGTTGGACTGACGGAAAGGCTCTAGAAGAATGGGACTTTTCAGAGGATTTGCATCCAGTGTCACACACATTCAAAGATCTACAGGTGAGAATCAAAATGTTGAGAGAACACTCGGGTAGCAAAGACAGGACTCCAAGTGAGCATAGACAAGACACAGGTGATGAAAGTGACTAAACGACGACAAAAAGTACCAGTCATCATCGATGGAACAAATTTAAGCGAGGTCACCTCTTCCACTTATCTTTGAACTGTTTATTGATCGACAGTCTTTTTATTGGTTCGTTTTGTCTAGAGTCCCCTGTTGACAATCCCTTCTCGCTGTCTATCAGATTTTCTGTTGGTAAATGTCTGGAATCTCTAGGAAAGGCTTTTGGTGACATTTCAAGTCTCTGAGCCGTATACAAGCGCGGATTTGAAATTTGTGTTGAAAATCTTGTTTTTTACACTTTCTCTAGTAGGTCTCTAGGCTGTATTCCGAATAATGAAGGTGTGACTCTGTCTGGATTCAACATAGAACTTGGCACCGAAGTGCACCAGTTCGAGTTGCCACCTTCCAAATAGCACACAGAGGTAGACAAGAAGATGAGTGAAGAGAATCAATAGAGTTTGACAAGTATAAGAGTGAAACAGAATGGGTAATGGTAGAGAGGAATATGAAAGATTACAGAGACTGAATACATCTGAGCTGGCCATTGACAACGATTTTGAGCCATATCACCTATTGTCTCCAGTTATTGATTCCTAGAGTCCCGAGGGCCCCAACCCGGAAGTCTGCATCTCCTACCCTACCTGACTGACTCAGTTTAACTGTCAAGGATTTCATGGATTGATGAGGCCATGTTTTTGTTTGGCCACCACTGGCTCTTTTCCAACCTGCACCTATATCAGCTAGCAATGCCCGTCTGGTGGGGGAGGCGGTGGTTAGGCATGCGCATCACCTGACCTAGCCATCTTAGTCTATGTAACTTTATAGCCTCATCGATTGATTTTCCCTCTTTGCCCAACACTCTACGCCTAACGTCAACATTACTTACCTTATTAAACCACCTAACGTGAGAAAGAGATCGCAGACATCTATGATCGAAAGCAGTCAACCTTTTCATGTCTTCAACGCGTATTGGCCATGTTTCACAGAGCCATAGAGAAGGACGGAGCGAACTGATGAGCAGTACACACGTCCCCCTTGGTTGATAACCGGATGTCACGCCTACGCCAGAGATGGTGTGAGTGCATTACTTTTCTGATCCTGGCTGTCTTCAACATCCCCATCTGTACAACTGCCTGTAATTAAAAAGATGTCACTTATGCAACTAAAAGAAGGGAATCCCTTCAAAATTTCCCCCTGTTGGTTAATGAATAGTGACTCGCGTTCTTGTCAGTGAAGAATATTCTCCAACTGTGCTTTTTTCTCTAAGTCTTCACCACCTGCATCTTCTGCCAACTAGTTGATTTTCGTCTGCAAATCTTTGAGTTTATGTGACATTAAGTACAAGTCATGCAAGAATTCCAGGTCTTGTAGACTCTTCTTATCAATCCACGACATACTTTTCTTGTCACCTTGCATAGTTCATTCATCAATTTATTTCACTATAATCAAATATGTCATCGTGGATGATAGTCGGAAGCTTCATCTTTCACCTGTCTTTACTTCAAAGGCTTCATTTTGCCTTCTCTTATGAATCACTTAACATGTGGCATTATCTTTTCAAGGTTTATTCCACGATACTAAACTAGGTGGTTGGGTATCGATCCTAGAACTCCCAAATGGCTGACAAGCATTCTACCATTAAGTACCTCAGTAGTTCACAAGCCAATCATGATGCTCACCTTAGCTTAACTTCAGTGATATTCAGCCAATGGGATGGTATCCAACTGCCCATGAATTCTAACATCTGTCAATCCTCTATATTTTTTGCCACTTGCGCGCAACTTGGTGGACCCCACCGGTCATGAATTCTTGTTAGAACTCCAACCAAGTTCATTCTATAGCCCCTGACAAGTCATCATTAGATCAGAGGGTTCGCCTCAAAACCTATAGGTCCTGGATTCGATTCTCAGTGGGGTTATAGGTGGACTACTGTCGAAGAGTCCTAGGCTGGAATGAAAAACTTTCCAGTAATTCAAGGTTTTCATAATCGAAGACTTACAAGCGAAAACCGACCGATAAACTGGTCGAAGAAGCAGCCGGCGAAGACAGGACTCCAGGTAAACATAGACAAGACGGAGGTTATGAAAATAACCAACCAACAACAGCAATAACATCCAACGTCAATCACCATCAACGGGAGGGATTTGAAAGAGGCTACTTCATTCACTTATCTAGGGAGCATTGTCTCAACTACAGGAAGTCGGAACAGACGAGGATGTCAAATCGAGCGAGAATCGGGAAGGCGAGAAACACATTCATCAGCCTGAAATCAATCTGGAAATCTTCGTCACTCAGCATCACCAACAAAATTCGGATTTTCAATACAAACGTAAAGTCAGTTCTTCTATACGGATCAGAAACTTGGAGGGTGGGTTACGAAGAATATTTCAAACAGCCTGTTGCACACCAGATATTCATCAACAACTGTCTTCACTCTATACTGAAGATCAGATGGCCGGAAAGAATTACCAACAAGGAATTATGGGAACAAACAAAGCAAGAACCAATCGCCAACCAACAAATATGCAGGAGAAAGTGGAGATGGATCGGACACTCGCTGAGGAGACCGTCGCTGGGTGACATCGCGCGTCAAGCCCTCGAGTGGAACCCGAAAGGGAAGGGACGTGTGGGACGTCGGTGCAAGGGTGACATGGAGGAGATCGTGTGAAGAGGAGTTGAAAGAATATGGATTAACATGGATGCAGGTGAAAAGTACAGCAGGTGGAAGACAGAAGAAAATGGAGACGTTCAGTTGAAGCCCTATGTTCCACTAGGAACCCAAGGGAGCAATAATAATAAATAATAATAATAATTCAAGGTTTTCAGTAGTTCTGCAATTGATGTCAACTCATGACTTCACTTGAGTTATGCTATGGTGTAAATGCGAAAGACTTGAGCACTGTGCCAGTATGCAATTCCCTACTGCAGATTTGATTATGAGGTGGCATTATTTAGAGAACCAGTGGGGAGCCAGGAAACTACTAAAACAATCGTCTTTTCCATCTTAGTTCGGAACTCTTCGGCAGTACGCAGCCACCAGAATTCGAATCTGGGTCCTCCTGGTTGCATAGCGAGCTCGTAGACTATTCAATTCTCGAGATTCGATCCAGTGGCCCATTAAATTCATCTAAAGAGTACATACAGCTCACATTTATCATCAGTTTTATCACAGCGTCAACGTCAATTTCCTTATTCATTTCCACGGAAATATTCTGGTGTTTCTGGATGAACTGTCTCTCTGAGCTAAATCGAATTGGAAAGACGGATGACGAGGCTACAAAAGGATGAAACGGCTCACCGCTATTCACATCACTTCAACGATTTGGTTCAATCATTGCTTTAGGATGTGAGTGATTCCCAACTACTCACTTCAAACAGTCAGTAATATAATCAGCCATGAAATATTTATCCCATTACTTTCCCAATGTTTCCTATTTATATCATTCAAAAGTACAATCTAATAAAAGCACAATTTTATACAGGCATAATTTCAGCCTACTAACAGTATGATTAATCAATAAATTACCAAGGTGACCATTATGATTACTCGCGAATTATCGATTAATTTAAAGTTGAACAATTAATAATAGAATCACTTTGAATCTATGTCAATAACTAGGCAACGCTTTGTTGGAAGAATAAATAAAACAAAAGTAGTTAGTGTTTTATAGAATCAATTTTAAATTTTAAAAAGTACAATGAATTGTTGGTACTAATTTACCATATTTTAAACAAATATTGAGAACAATATTAAAAACTCATTTTATATTAGATAAATTCAATTGATATAACGCTCACACAGTGATACAGTTTATTAGCATCAATTGGTTTATGTTTTGAGCATGACTTTATTGCTCATAATCATATCTGAACGTTAAACGATTAATCGCGAGTTGACATGAGATACAGAACCACCGGAAAACTAGAAAGGAGCACTTGACAACCAATTGTCTCGTCCTAGTTTTGGACTCTTCATCAGCATACAACTACCTCCAGGGTTTGATTCCAGGACCTTCGGATTACTAGACGAACCCGTAAACGATTCAGTCATTAGGACCCGACCTAATGGCTTCTAATCCTTATCAACCAACCATGTAACCAATTAAATCCCTGCAAACCAACACTTGGTAAGATATGAATGTATTCACACGACTTGATAGCCGGCTTCATTAATATTATTTTTATTATTGTTGCCTTGGGTTCCCAGTGGAATACAGGGATTCAACTACACAACTCCACTTTCCTCTGTTTTCTGCCGTCCTCTTCAATTGGGTCCACTACTGCCAATTATCTCTCATCTTCACCTCACCTCTTTGTCATCCTCGATGTGATGACCCTCTTGTCGCTCCCAACTAGGATTCCACTCGAGCGATGGCCTGAATTGAGAGTGATGTAATTCAAAAGACCCCTTAATGTATGCCCGATCCATCCGTCTCCATTTTCTCTCACATATTTGTTGAGCGATCGGATCCTAGTTGGTTTGTTCCTACAGTCTCTTGTTACTAATTTTTTCTGGCCATTTTATCCTCAATATGGAGCCAGTGAAGGTGACAGCTGTTGAAGAAAGTCTGTAACGTGTTAGAAATCCTTTTTGTTGCACGCTGACCAAGGTTCTGACCCCCTAGAGAAGAAGTGACTGACTAACTTCACATTTGTGCTGAAAATCTGAATCTT